TATGAGTCGGAAACGACTCGATGGCACATAACAACAACAACATAGGCAGAATACTGAATGAATGACCCTTTTGGGGTATTATAATAATGTTATAAAACAAACTCTGTATGAATGATTGAGTAAAAAACTTACATACTTCACTCAAATAATAATAAAAATAAGTATTTATAAAGTTGGTCCCAACTCAATGACTCTGTGGACAGCTGAAAAGGACAGTGCCCAGTCCTCCTGGAGTCACAGTCACTACATGTTTCACCTTAATTGTTAGTCACTGTGTCAACCCATCTTATTGAGATTCTTTTTGTTTTTACCTGAACCTCTATTTCAGCTATCATGATATCATACAGGGCTTTCCTGATAATATGGTCAAAATAACAAATCTCATCAACCTTGCTTCTAAGGAGCATTCTGGCTGTACTTCTTCTAAGATAAATCTGCTCTTTTTTCCTAACTGTCCACAACATACTAAATATTCTCCACCAGTATTACAGTATTAGTCTTCTCTATTTACATCTGTCTTACTTCTGTTTACTGGGAAGCCTAAGTTAAACACATGGCTACTTAACCAGAACGTTGACAGCTTGAATCCACCCACAAAACCTAGAGAAGAAAGCTCTGATGATCTATTCCCAAAAAGATTATACCCAGGAAACTCATTAAAGTTCTACTCTGCAATTGTCTAGTTTTCATATGCATATGAAACAAATGAAAAATACTTGGAAACAATTAGTCCAGACCACCCTTGAAGCTAGTGATCTTCAATTTCCACAGCCCTGAAACCAGAAGAATCAGAAGGGACCACTTCAAATTGCTCTGGAAGGAGTCACAATAGAAGACTTTGGATGGTGGCAAAGTACAACACAACTCAGAATCACAACACTGTCCAGGCCTATAACAGTACACTGACACAGAATGGCCAGTATTGCAAGCTGGGTTTAGAAGAGGCTGTGGCATCAGAATCATCATCATTTATATCAGCTGAATTCAGCTGAAAGCAGAGAATACCAAAAGAATGTGTTTTATTGACTATGCAAAGATATTTGACTGTGTGGATCATTGCAAAGGATGAGAATCCCAGAATACTTAATTATGCTCATATGAAACCAATACTAGACCAAGAAGTTGCTATCCAGAATAAAGGAGCAAGCACTGCATGGTTTAAAATCAGAAGGGTGTATCGGGGTGAGTCCTTTCTCCATACCCTCTCATATGTATGCTAACTATATCATTTGAGAAGTTAGACTTTATGAAGAACATGGCATCATAAGAGGAAGACTCGACAACCTGCATTATCAAAATGATACCAACTTGCTTGCTTAAAGTGAGAACTTGAAGTGCTTGCTACAGAAGATCAAAGACTACAGCCTTGAATGTGGATTATATCTCAACATCAAGAAGACAAAAATTCTCACCACTGGTTTGATGGGCAACAACACTACAGATGGCTTAACGACTGAAATTGTCAATGACTGCATCCCATTTGGATACTCAGTCCTTGGTACTAGCAGTCAGGAACTCAGGAGATGTATCACACTGGGAAAGTTTGCTATTTAGGGACCTCTCCAAAGTACTGAGGAGTAATGATGTCATTTTAAAAGACTGAGGTGCACCTCATAGAAACCACAGTCTTTTTAATCACTTGTTGTGCATCTGAGGGCTTTACATTGAATAAGGATGACAGAAGAATAGATGTCTTTGAGTTGTGGTGTTGGAGGAACACTATGGACTCCCATAAAACCAAACAAGTAAGTCCTGGAGAAAGTGCAGTCAGAGTGCTCCTTAGAGGCAAGGATGGTAAAGCTCTGACAAACTTTGGGTCTATAGTTAGGAGGGGCTGTTCTTTGGGAAGGGACATTATGTGAAGAGGTCAGTGAAAGTGTAGAAAACTCTCAGCAAGATAGACTGACACAGTGACGGGAGCAATGGGCTGAAGTATATTAGAGATGATGACGATGGCACAAGATAGGACAGGGTTCATGTCTATTGTTCATAGGATCCCTATGAGTCAGTCATACTCCACTCTAAAGCACCTTACAATAGTGGAGATTGGTAGAACGGAATTCATCCTTGTAGTACAACTTTCAGGGAGCTCTGGCGGGCGGCCTAATGGCAAGAAGTTGAGTGTAATCCCAAGGGCATGCAGTCCACCAGCTGCTATGCAGGAGAAAGATGGGCAATTTCCTCCCGTGTGATTTAACTGCCTCTGAAAACCTGCTAGACGGTCAACTTTGGTTCAGTTCCAACTTGATGGTAAACAATAGTAACAACAGTACAACTTTCAGCCAAACAGACAGATCTATGAGGTGAACAATAATACAAGATACTCAGTCAGCACTTAACAACCGTCACTCATGATCACAAGAGCTACATTTTCTAAAGATAAAACATAGAAAATTCTAGGAAGGAGAGGATGGAGAAATGAAGGCAGGCAGGAATCACAGAAAATGTGGCGGCAAAATACCATGGCTTGGGGCAGTGGTAGCCATTCTATACGTTGTTATTGTTATGTGCTGTTGAGTCACCTGCGACTTATAGCGACCTTATGTACAACAGCTCTAAACCCTGCTCTATCCTGTGCCAATCTTATTGTCTCTGGCACACTTACACCCATGACCCCAGTCACTGAATCAATCCATCTCATTGAGGGTCTTCTTCTCCTGAGCTGTCCCTCTCCAAGGACTGATGCTGTCTTGCAACATGTCCAAAGTATGTCAGAAGAAGCTTCAGAATCCTTGCCTCCAAGGAGCAGCCTGGTTTCACCCTCTCCAGGATAACCTTGTTGTTTCATTAACTGCATTCAGTTCTGTCATTGCTGTGCTTGAGACCACTGTAAATACACTAAAACCTAATCTGTAATTAGTACATATTGAATAGTTAACAATGGAATCTGCGTCTTTCATCTTCTTGTAACACTGATTTCCACATAACAATCTGGTCCTTTGATCCTAACTATGACAACAAGAGTGGGTGTTAGTTTGGAACTACTGAGCAAAATAAACTACACTGTTAAAAATATCTTTTTAAACCCCAAACTTAACACACAGTGCTTAAAAACCAAACCCTTTGCCATAGATTGATTCAAAGTCACCTCACCAGAAAGACTACTGACCCATAGTGCTTCCAAAGCTTTGGTCCTTAGGGAACAAACAGCCATATCTTTCTTCCGCTGAGTGAGCTGATGGGTCCAATTGACACCTTCTGGTCAGCGAGCAAGTAATTAACCACTGTACTACCAAGACGCTATTGAGCCCTTACTGTGTGTCAAATGCATCTATTAGTTCACTTCCCTTGAAGTCAGTACTATTATTAAGCCTATTTTTCAGATGAGTATTACTAAGAATGATAGAAGAATCGGTGCCTTTGAGTTGTGGTGCTGAAGAAGAGTATTGAATATACCATGGACTTTTTTCCTTTTACTTTTCTTTTTTAAAAAATTTCTTTATTTTTCATTTCAATGAACATCTACAGAGATTTTGGAATTCCATTCATTCATTGTTGCACCCCTCTCCCCCCCCCACTCCCCATCCCCCCGTTTGCTCCTCTCCTTCAAATGCAAAAGAAAAACTCCCTCATTGGTACGCAATCCCCCACACACATCCCCCAACCCCAAATATAATCCACTCTGCAACCCTCATTCCGTACTCTTACAATAAACATAATGCCCTAAAATATAAAATATTCTCTCCCCCAAAGACTTCAATGCCGTAAACATATTTCATCCAGTTTTTCTCAGTCTTACCCTCATCCTGATGTCAGCCTCATTCTACAACAGTGGCACCATATAGCATTTGTCCCTTTGTGACTGAGATACCTCACTCAGCATAATGTCCTCCAGGGTCACCCATTTTGAATAATATTGCATGAGTTCCTTGTTTTTCAATGCAGCATAATATTCCATTGTGCGTATATACCACAGCTTCTCCACCCATTCGTTTGTTGATGGGCATTTGGGTTGTTTCCAAGACAAGTTCAGCCTGGAGAGGGTGAAACCAAGCTACTCCTTGGAGACAAAGACTTTGAAGCTCCATGTGATAAATTGTGGGCATGTTGCAAGGCGGGACTAGTCAGTCATTGAAGAGGGACATCACGCGTGGGAGTGTGGAGGAACAGTGCAAGAGAGGAAGACCCTGGATGAGATGGATTGATTCAGAATGGGATAATGGGGGTGTGTCAGAGACGATGAAATTGGCTCAGGATAGAGCAGGGTTCAGAGCTGTTGTACACTGGGTCGCTATGAATTGAAGTTGACTCGATGGAACAAATTGACACAAGAAGTAATGTGCCTGAAGTTAGCATTTAGTGAGCAGTGGACAAGGGATTCTAGCCTGAGCCAACTGCACATCTAAGCACTAATAAAGAGTAATAAAAGGACAAAATAACAGAGCCATGAAAGAAATGTAAGACTAAATCTTCCTAAATATCTCGTTATATTCATGATTGACGAAATGCCAATGGAATTTAAAAAATTTTCAGTGCTCTTAGAAATGTCCTCACGTTCCTTGATAAGTGGGGGGCCACAGAAGAGAGTTTGTTTAAACAACTAACTCACGTGGTTTGAGCCACAACAACGTAGTTTCGGTCTCTCGGAACACTACGATACCAACTGCCTGCAGGTGGCGAAGCACACCTGAAGCCTGAGCCTGGGCCCTGGCGCAGACGCCAGCAGGCACTCGGGGACTGCAGGCAGGGCGATAGGCCGGATACCCCATCCCGGCATGCACCACAGGTCCCGGCGACCACGCCCCCGCGGGAGCCTCCGAGCCCTCCCTCGGCGCCCGCCCGGAAGTGCCTCTCGAGCGGAGCATGCTGGGAGTTGTAGGCGTCCGGCTCCGGCCCGCGAGCTGCCGTGTGTACTCTGCATGAGGCTCTGACTCTGGCCCGCGCGGCGCCGACTCCGGATCGTGCTTTGCGCTGACTCAGCGGCGTTGGCGGCGTTGGCTGGCCCTGCCACTCTTTCCTTTACTGGGGCACCCACTCAACGCTCTACGAGACCAGCACCAGCGACGCGGAGAGGCGAGAGGCGCGCGGCTCCGGCCAGCCAGCTCCGTCGCTGGCGTTAGCGCTGCGGTGGTGGCGGAGGAGGACGGCGACAAGGACCAGGACCACCCTGCACGTTCCCTGCGTGCGGCGCTGCTCTGCCTCGCTAGCTGGCCTTCGGGAGTGCAGGCGGAGAGACGGGATGGAGTGATAGTGAAGGTGACTAGGGGCTCGGGGACAGGGGAATCCAACCCGGCGATTTTGGGGAGAGGCTGCGTGGAAGTTGGCGGAGCGGAAGGGCTCATGGGAGCTCCGCCACCAGTCTCATCAGGGAGGGACACGGGCTGCTCCATGGCTGCGCGCCCCGGGGCTGGGTGGCAGAGTGGGTGTGGGTAGGAGCTGCGGCCGAAGCTGCTGAACCCATTTCTGGTGCGTGGCCGCCCGTTGCCGGGTGTTTCATCACCCGAATTGCCACGAGGCTTCCTTTGGGGGAGGGATGCGAGGAGAAAGGTGGGCAAGGTACTGTTCCATTCGGAACAGTTGTAGCGGGTCCCATCAGTTACTTGAGCTTCTTGGACCTTAAACTTCATTAGCCACCCCCCAACCCCCGCCCAGGACCAAAAAGAGGGAAAGTGTTATTTTTGTGTAGTAGTCTTATCTGCATGGACACTCCATTTATTTTAATTTCCGATCGAGTTTGCAGTAGATAAGTGTGTTGTTCCTCCGTAACAGAAAAACGACTTTCTGAAAGTACTAATTAGTTGTTAGTGGGGCAACTTACATTGTATTAAAACGACTTGTCAGCGTGGTGTTAGAAGGCCGGAAAGGTTTCGTTATTCTTCTCTGAACTAGAGTAGAGGTGAAGGAATTTTTTCAGAATTTTTTTTTTTTTGGTAAGAAGCTGCGTTGCAGTCAGTCCCCAATGGCATGCTGTTTGAATCCATCAGCTGTTCCACGGGAGAGATATGGGCAGTCTCTCTTCTTACTGCTGCCTCTGAAAACCTGTTGGAGGGTTAGCTGTGGGTCGGTTGCGACTGGACGGACGACTTGCAACAACCGCAAGGGGAACGTTGGAACTTTTACGTTTTCAGTATGTTGCTTCGCTAGATACGTCAGTTGAAGGGTTGACTGCATTGTAACAGTTTATGTTGCACCCTCAAGTGTTAAAATAACCTTAATGCACAACCTTTTGATGGGAATGTTGTCATCCACCTTCTTTCTCAAATTATAACTTTGAAGTTTGCAGACATGTAGGTGTTTTGCCTTGTGCCACTGTAAGTTGATTATCTGGGTCAATACCTTCTCCGTGGGTGAGCCTTACAGAACTGACAACTGTAACAAGTTTGTTTCTTCAGTTTTATTGGCGGTGGCTTTTGTTAGAGCTACTTGACTGTTTGCTGTGATATGATTAAAAGGGATTTAACGAAGTTTAAGCAGTTTCCCCTCAAGTCGTTCCTAGAACTCTGAGATCCATAGAAACTCTGAAATTGTGCAATTTTCTGGGGAAAGGATCTCTACGTTTTACTGTTTTTTTCCCCTCATCAGTTCAAAATGCTGATTCACTACATTTTAATGATAAACCCAGAATCCTCAGTAATCCCCTCCCCCTCCCTTTTTGCCTAGATATGGATTATAATCTCTTGAGGGCCTACTGTGTGTTAGGCATGCTTTACATACTTTACAGCTGTGTGAGATCAGTGGTCTTTTCTGTTTCCTAGAAAGGGCTCTCAGATTTTGTAAATTGTCTGTGTGCCCCCATCCCCGCCCCCTAGTTTAAAATGACAAGATCAGGATATAAATGTATGCCTTTACAAATCCAAACCAATGCTCTATTATATAATGAATATGTAATGGAGAACTTTGAAGACAGTCTTTGTCCTTATAGGTTGGTGAGGGAGAACAAACAGTAAACACTGAAAGCATAGCAGAACTTAGGAGGATATAATCCTGTCTGTGAGGGATGAACAGTGGGGCCCAGAAAAATGATCTTTGAGAGTTGACTTTTTAGCTGAGTTTTGAAGGACAGGCCAGGGACTAACTAATAAGAAGAGCAGTGTGTGCAAAGATAAAAGGTAAAATACTCCTGGGTTAAGACTAGTGATTGAGTATTGCTTGCCTGGCTGAGTTATGGTGCAAAATGAAGAGAGGTGTTTCTTAGTCTTGAGGATAATGGGGAACTACATGCCGTTGCTGTAGTCTGTAGAATATAATAAGAGAAGGAGCTGACTTGCTTGGAAACAAATTTAGGATTTGTTTCAAGCAAGTCCAAGGAGAGTCGGAAAATATACTGTAGTATGGGGATCAGATAATCCTGGCCTCTCTATTCTTAAAAGTCTTAGCCCACCCATCCATCCATTAGCCCCTGGGTCTCGTGAGGCTTCAGTCTGATCTCTTTTGTTACAGTTACTTAAAAAGAGAAAACTAAATCCTATTCTTTTAATGAAAATTTTTAAAACTTGGTGTTTGTAACTCACAGGTATATAAGAGAATGTGGGTTTTAAAGATTGCTGGATATTTGCTCAGATAAACATATATATAATTTAAAAAGTAGGTTGCCTTTTAGAGCTTATGTGTGTCTTTGAGCTATAAGGCCTTATATTGTGAAATACTGAAGTTTAGGAGTTCTTTTTTTAATGATTTCTGTGTGTCTAGGTAATTGATTCCACCTCAGTGGTGTTTCTCATGCTGAGAGCTTTGTTACTGGTCTTTGAGTTAAACAGCAGAATCACCTGATGTAGACAGATTTCAAGCAGACAAAACAGAAATGAGGACTTGGTGATCTACTTCCAAAAACTAGCTAAGGAAAACATGGAGCACAACAAATACTGCCCTGTATGTGCTAGAAGATGAGTTGCCCTGAGTCGGGAGGCACTAGTGACTCTAGCATGCCAGCAATTGTACATAGACTCGCAGGAAGTCAGAGCCAGCTCTACAGCTGCTAACAGTAACAAAGATAACTGGCTACCATGTTGGTTATTGGAATTCTTATCACTTCGTTTTGTTCATGTTTAGCATTTTTGCAGACTGAAAAATAATTTTTTAAATATACCTTTAAGTAAAGGTAGTTAGTATTACTTGTCCATCTTTACTGTTAAAAATCATTCTCTGAAATGTGCTTGTGCAATTTCCTGATGAGAGTAGAGTTCTCTACAAGGAGATTTTTTGGAACCCAGCCCGTTCCAAAGCTGACAGCCAATTTTTCACTCTTCTTCCTTCATTTGCCTTCTTGTACTATTTGGTTCTTATTGCCAGCGAATCAGTTCTCACTCCTATAGAGTAGAACTGCCCCTTAGGGTTTCTCAGGCTGAGGTCTGCTGACTTGGTGGGTAAAGGGTGGTTCTACCACTCAAAGGGCATTCAAACCCACCAGTTGATCTCAGTGAGAAAGATGGACATTCTATTCCTGGGTGATTTACAGCCTCTGAAAATCTGCTGGCGAGTCAGCTATGAGTCATTCTGACTTTAAGGCAATGAGTGAGCTTTTTAACCTAAACCTTAGTAGGCTAACATACCTTTCTCCCATGGTCTGGCTAATGATTCTAACTGCCTGTCTTTTGCTTAGCAGCCATGTAAATACATTTATAACTGAACCACTAGAACTCCCTGTGGCAAATTGGCAGGGGAGTTCTAGTGGCTTAGTGGTAAGGAATGTGGTGCCAGCCCAAAGACTTGCAGTTCAAATCTACCAGCTGCTTAGAGGGAGAAAGAGGGACAGTCTCCTCTTGTGTGATTTACTGCCTCAATAAACCCACTGAAGGATCAGCTATGGTTTGGTTCTGACTGAATGGTACATAACAACAATTCTTCCAAGACTTAGTTTCTCTTAAAATTTTGTTTGTTTAATTGTAATTCTTAAAGTTTAAAAAGTAGTTATGTATATATGTAAAAAACTGTATATATGTAAACTTCTTTGCATTCTGGAGTTTTTTAAAATATGTATTTTCTTTCAACTTGGCTTTTTTCCCCCCTTGTTTGCAGATATGTGTGGATTTTTTGGTGGGATCAGCGGGCATACCTATTATAATCAGAAAAGTCCAAGTATAGCAGCAGGGATGGATGAACAGGCTCTTTTAGGGCTAAATCCAAATGCTGACTCAGACTTCAGACAAAGGGTAAGTTTAGACTGTTTAATCAGTTTTCAAAAACATGTTAGAACAGATTTGTATTAGAAAACTTATTTAAAAGGTACATCTGATGATAAAGGTCTAGTACTAGGTAGAAATGAGTAGAGACATACCAGTTTGAAGTATTTGGATATCCTCTTTATATAGAAGCAGTAGCGCTTTGATTTATTTTCTGCTTAATTGTCTGAAAAGGAGTCACTTAAAAATTAATTTATGTCAGTGCAGGACTTTATGTCATATCAATCATTATTTCTAATTATTGAAAATGAAAATTCAGAGGATTGTTTAAGAGCGTTTCAATAGTATCACATGTGTGTATTTCTTTTTCCTATTGCTTAGCCTAATCTAAAAGTTTTTAATACCTATGTTGCTGCTATTTAACATCTTTGTTATTTAGTTCAAGCAAGTATATAAATAACAAGTTATGATATGCCATATATCATGGCACTGTTAGGAGGTAGGTATTGGATAAATGGAAACCACTAAAAATACTTCTTGAGTATAATCATGACTTGCTGAATGATTAAAAGAAGAGTCTTAATAAGCTTGTAATTAATGTTTTAAAGATGTGTTGGCGTCTTGAAGTACTGTGTAAGTGAAAGAGCCATTTCCTTCTCTTTCTTCTTTCTGCATAGCAAAGGTTTTTTTAAATGGGTTTTTAAAATCTCACTATCATACTCTGTTCTGCTTTTAAGCAGAAAAAAGTAGATTTTTTAAAATCTCAATTTGGTTTTGATATAGAACCATGTGCATGACTTTGCTGTTAAATAACTTGTTCTCTACATGCAGGAAGATTGCAAGAATTGAGATTTGAATATCTACTGACCAGTTTTTTCAACTCACTTTGCCTTTCAGACTACATGAAAGCCTCTGTTTTTTTGTTAATAGATAGTTTCTTTTCTGTGAATTTAACTATCCTTAGCCTTTAAACATAAAATCTTAGGTCATAGAGTCGAAGGATCAAGGAACTGTAGCTTTATGCTAGCTTGGCATTGCATGCTTAAAATTATTTAAGCTTTTGATATAGTTAGATACCTTTCCCTGTTATTTTGATGTATTTTTATGAAATCTGTGAAACTCCAGCAGCTGGCATATTTTTTAAAAAATGTACCATGAAGTTATGCTTTTGATCTGTGAAAAATGGGTTCTGTAATCACAGTCATGTGCTAAGCCAATTCAGGGTTAATTTGATGACCATTTAACCAACATGAATAACAGAATCAATTTGGATGAATAAGATGGAATTTTAGGAAAAGTGAATTTTTTAGTCTTGATGTTGGAGTTAGGAGTGTAAACTTTTACCAGTTTTATGGATAGATTAATGACTGTCTGCCAACTATTCTTGGTTGTGTCTTTTGTAGATGTACCATAAAAAGTAGTAGAAGTGACTGTTGCCACGTAGAAGTAGTAAAAGATAGGGGATAGCAGAATTACTGAAAAAAGCTGTGACTGGTTCACCATTGATTCCAAAGCATAGTAACTCTATAGGGCAGAGTGGTACTCCCCATAGCATTTCCAAGGATTTGTGGCCCAGTGACAAGAAGCTGTGTAGCAATCCCGAAGGTACAATGTTCAAATCCACCAGCTGCTCTTTGGCTTGGCAGTGCAATTCCAATACCACTGGGCTGCTTGTGCTCCCTTTCTACACCATTTCTTACACTTGCATATTCCTTATAGTATCATTCACTCACTGTCATTGAGTTAGTTCCAACTCTTGTTGGGTTTCCAAGGTTGTAATGGAATTGCAATGGAAGGAACCTGCCCATCTTTCTCTGAGAATCTTCTTATGGACTCCTGGAAAGACAAAGCCTTTGGGCAAGCAGTAGAACTCTGAACTACATCGCTAGTGTCCCTATAGAAGGGGGTACTTGACAGGAGCACTTATATGTTCCCTCTCAGTCATAGTAACCTAGTGAAGTCTACAGGCACTTGCGTATTATCTCATTTGTTATAAGAGAACAAGTTGTATAAGTGAAGGAATTTACTTTCTTTTTTATTTAACATTTCTCCTAGGGGTAATCTCTATAGTATGTGTATTAGAAAACTTTAATGTCTTATTTAATGCTTCCAGAATATCTTGCTTAGCAGGACTTTGAAATAGATTATTCAATTTTTTTTTTCTCCTTTTGCCTTCTTACAGGCTCTGGCCTATTTTGAACAGTTAAAAATTTCCCCAGATGCCTGGCAGGTGTGTGCAGAAGCCTTGGCCCAGAGAACATACAGGTAATTAAAAAGTAATTTATATGACTTTTGTGAATTAGCTAGAACTTTAATTGTATTTGAAAACTACTTTCACAGACATTTTTTCAAGAGTTTTTTTTTTGGGGGGGGAAACATTAATTATATCAACTAGTGTACAAATGGGAAGAATAAGAAACAATATATTAGACATTTGAGAGTTGACTTTTTAGTAAAATCATCCTTTATATTATATAGCTGATAGAAGATCCCAGCTTGGATACATTGTAGTAGAAATTTTGTTACTCTTGTTGGCACTGGTTATTTTAAATGCTAATATAGGAGACAATCACAAATGATGTGTCTTAAGTTTCATTTAAACTTAATATAAGCATTTGTTACTAATTTTGTGATATTGGACCAAAGTCTTTGCATATATGACCATTGTTTCTCTTTTAATCACACTGTTAGTTCAACTTTTACAGTAATTTTGCAGTTTACATTTCTCAAAGAGAATAAAGAACACTGAGTGTGAATTTTTAACTAAAAAAATTCACCATCTCTTTTCCAAGCATTGGTTATCTGACCCAGACTGTCTGTTATGTTTCTTTTTTTCCCTGTAATGTAACTTTTTTCTTTGAACTTTTTTCATTTTATTTATCTTAGTTTTTACAGAAATAAGAATTATATATATATGTATGTGTGTATATATATATATATTTATATATCAATATAATATTATATTAATTATACCAGAGGAATGTCTGTCTGTGTTTCATTGCCTATGCAAAGGAATTTAATTGTGTTGGCTAACTCTGAGAAGAATGGGAATCCCAGAACACTTGATTGTGCTTATGCAAAACCCATACTTAGACCAGGAGGTAGTTGTCAGAACAAAGCAAGAAAACATTTCCTGGTTCAAGATCAGGGAAACTATGCCAGGGATGCATCTCATCTCCATAGCTTTTAAATCTATACACACAACAGATCATCCAGGAGGCTGGGCTCTATGAGGAGGAATATGACTTTAGGATTGGAGGAAGACTCATCAAAACCTACTGCAGACGGCAAACCTTGCTTGCTGAAATTGAGAAAGACCTGAGGCATTTGCCACAGAAGGTCAAGGACTGCAGCCTTTAATATGAATTGAAGCTCAACATCAGGAAAACAGATTCTCACTACTTGATGGCAACATGCTAGATGGTGAAGAGATTGAGATTGCTAACAGTTTTAGCTTGCTTGGCTCCACAGTCATCACTCTTGGTAATAGCAGCCAGAATATCAAAAGACAAATTGCATTGGGAAAGTTAGGGAGCTCTCTAGAGTACTGAAGAGCAATGATGTCAGTCTAGAGACTAAGGTGTGCTTGATCCAGGCCATGACCTTTGCTATGCATCAGAAAGCTGGACAATGACTAGGGCTGATAAAATAATTGATGCCTTTGAGCTTTGTTGCTAGAGAAGAGTATTGAATGAACTTCTAGGAGAACAAACGGGTTTTTCTTAGAGACGGTGAAACCAGGCTGCTCGTTGGAGGCAAGGATTCTGAAGTTCCCTCTGACATACTTTGGCATGCTGCAAGGAGTTCTTGGAGAGGGACATCATTTTTAGGGAGGGTGGAGGAACAGCGCAAGAGAGGAAGACCCTGGATGCATGGATTGACTCACTGACTAGGATAATGGGCTTGGGTATGTCGGAGACAATGAGGTTGACATAGGATAGAGCAGGATTCAGAGCTATTGTACATAGGGTCACTATGAGTCACAAGTGATCATAACAACAACAATAATAAAGTAACCTTACAAAAGAAATAAGACTAGTATAGAGACTCTTGGTTTAACAACTACTGGTGGTAAGCAAACACCTCACTTGGTGGGAGCACAAGTATATATATGTTAAGAGATAGCCTGCTGGCTGGAGCTCTTTGTGTTATCATTTATTAGTCACTGTTTTATCAGGAAATAAATGTTAAGTTGTAGTCAAATTTGGTTTCAGGACCATCTACTGTATATATGCCTTAGAGTAAATAGGAATTGACTTTTACTTAAAAGATCTCTGTAGTTTCTTGTGGAAAATCTTAACTCTTCTGAAATTAAATATTCAATATCATCAGGATAAAATTGAAAATTCCAAGGTAAAAAAAAAAACACAAAAGTCCTCATTGCCATGGGGTCACAATTGACTCAGCTGACCCTCTAGTGGGTTTTCAGAGGCTGTAAATTGCATGTGAGTAGACTGTCCATCTTTCTCTTGTAGAGTACCTGGAATCAAACAGGCTGGGAAACACCACCTTTAGCTTGGCATGCAACTCCCTATGGACTATACCACCAAAGCTCCCTAAACAGGAAAGATGCTACTTAGACCTAATTTAAAAGTTTTGGGGGAAAAAAGTTTGAAAGACTGAATTAAGCATTTCATTTTTTAACATGAAATTCTTTTGTTTGGTTAGTTCATGGATATAGATGAAGAAAAGTGTTTATATAGGCCATTTAGATAGAGCACATAGGAATAATTGTCCTGTGTCTTATCCTGACTCATACTCGTTTTCGTACGTGAGCAGAGTGCTGGTAGCTCTTGGGTCTTTGCCAGAGTTTCTAGCTAGCTCCCTACAACTAGAGAAATAATTGAAGTGAGTAACTGATGGCAGTTGATTTTTTTTTTCTTTTCTGTAAATGATTACTATGGCTAGTGTATTTATAATTTGATTTCCTAAATGAACTTTAAGAGTGGACTGCCATCCTTGCTTTCCCTGCTTTCTTTGGTTTGGCAGCAGTTGGAACTAAGCAGTGTTGAATTCTGATTGGGACGTGGACGCTTATCCTTGATTAAACTCTGTTTCTTGCTGTCATTTTTATGCCTATCCTTTCTACTCTAAAATATTGGAAATCTTGTTTGCAAAACATAATCTTTAAGGTGCATTGCTGATGATTTTCTTGCCAGCTTTAATAACAGTATTATACTATTTAGAGTTCTCGGGTAAATCCAGGCCAAGCGTCTATTTTGTAAACACTTAGCAGTGTTTTCATGTTGACTTGTTCTAGTTCTAGCTCGTCTAACTTCCTTTTCTCTTTTTCAGTGATGATCACATTAAGTTTTTCTGCTTTCAAGTACTGGAACATCAAGTTAAATACAAGTAAGGCTTTCCTCATTATTTTGACATTGAAATCTGTTCAGTGAGCTTTAATTTCTCCCTTTTTGGGGAAACCCAAAGGGAGCTTATAAATAGAGAAATTGTAAATGGTAAACTGTTTTTATATGTGTTTATCTTCAAGTGCTTCAAACATAGCTTTAATATTAAGTACAATTAAAGATGGAGTAACTCCAGGTCTTTTTTCCTACGAGATCGCTGAGTGTCCACATGAGCACTTGTGCCTTAATCAAGCATAATACTGCCTTTCTGCTTGGAGGATCCCTGGTTTACTTACTGATTTATTCTGTGAGTCACAGGCTTCAAACAACACAGATATATGTCAGTCTGAAATTTGTTTAGTTATCATTGGTTTGAGCATGAACTACATTCAAAATTAAGACCTTTCTTAAAATATTTTTTCTTTGAAGCAGCAATGAATAAATAAGGTATTACTAGTTTATCTAAGGAAACTAATTGAACACTGTATTTTCATTATCATGCACAAGAGGCTATTTTCAAATCATCCAAAACTAAATATAATTATTCTTACTTTTTTTTCTCTGTTTTAAACAGATATTCAGAACTAAGTACTGTTCAACAGCAGCTAATTAGGGAGACGCTTATATCTTGGCTACAAGCTCAGGTAAAATGAGTTTATTTGAGGCCCTCCAGTGGTCACATTTAAACTTAAGTTTCTAAAACAGTTTACAACCTTTCCTCTAAAATCTGATCTCTCTCTGGCATATGATCTTACAGTTTTTTTAAAGGACTGTTTTCATGATCATTAATAGGTGAAAACTTTTCAGTAATTTGAAATTACACTAGTAACTGAAAATGTCATATATTCCATAACATGTTGTGGATTTTGGTTTTAAAATGAAAACTTTTCTACTGTCTCACAGTAATGACTTAAGTAACAGTAATGAGTTAATTCTTCATAAAGGACTCTTTAGAAAAGTGATTATTGTTTTGTGCTGTAAATTTGGAACCGACTCATAGCTGACCTTCATTACAGGCTGTAAATCACACAAGAGGAGATTTTCCCTCCTTTTCCTGCCAAGTTGCTGGTGGATTAAGCCCTGTACCTTTGCGTTTGCAGCATAGATCCTTACAGCTGGACTACCAGAACTCAGAGCATGTTTTTATTGGCTAATTTTAGTTAATTTATAAAGCAGCTTTGCGGTTAGAAAGAATTCTTTTTTTTTTTTTAAAAAAAACAACAACAACCAAGTAGAAGAAAAACAGTTGAAAAATTGCTTTCATCTTAAAAAAATGATAAAAAGCTATTAAAATCTCTATGTGAAAACAATTATAAGAAAGAGATCAAAAACCTAAATATTAAAACTATAAAGTTCCTAGAAGATATTAAAAGGTTTAAACTCAGATTCATGCTGTCAAGTCGGAGCCAGCTTATAGATGATCCTTCAGGGGGTTTTCAGAGGGTATATATCACACCGGAGAGGACTGCTCTTTGAAGGGCTAGTTGATTGTAAGTGGAACTGCTCTAGAGGTGCAGTCTTTGGGTTAGCAGTGCAGCTTTCTAAGAACTACGCATATACTTAGGGACCCAAGGTTTTGCATAGTTTATCAAGCAAAACGAAGAATCAATGTATGATAGAAGGCAAGTTTAGTGACTAGTTATTATTGTTGTTAGGTGCCGTCAAGTTGAGTACAACCCAGAGGGACCCTATAAGCAACAGATGGAACCCTGTCCTGTCCTGTGCCATCTTCATACTTCCTGACACACTAGAGCCCATTGCTGCAGTCTGCCTGGTTGATGGTTTTAGTGACTAGAACCTGAAAATTAAGTACTTAATGTTCATTTAAAACTTTACTAAAACAACAGAACCTATAAGATAGATGGAGGGGTGGGGATAAATCTTAGGCAATGACTTATCTGGTAAAAATGTGTTGTTACTAGGTGCTGTTGAGTTGACTACAACTTGGAGTGACCCTATAAACAACAGACTACTTTCCCAAAATATTTAGTAAATTTAAACAGCTCAACAGGGAGCTCTGGCTTAACGGTAAAGAGTTGTACTGCCAACTCAAAGTCATGTGGTTTGAATCCACCAGCCGTTTGATGAGAAAAAGATGGGCAATCTCCTTCCCTGTGATTTGCTGCTATGGACAGTTTCTGGAAGGTCAACTGGAACTTCTAAGTGGCACATAACAGTAAAAAGCAACGTGACAACAAAAGACAAGCAATCCAATTTTTAAAAGAACATGAATAGGCATTTTACCAAAGAGAACTTTCAATCAACCAAAAATATATGAAAAGATGACAATTATTAGCCATTAAACCATAACAAATCCATGGTAATCAAGAGGATTTCAATTTATAGTAACTCTGCATCTAGTTTCTGAGGCTGTAAATTTTTATAGGAGTACAATGCCCATCTTGTCTTAAATATAGGAAAAAAATAAGTATGCAAGATGTAGTGAAAATTTATATATACTGTGACAAATTATTTGGGAACAACAATAACTGAAAAAATAGGTAGAGTTGCATCGGTAGATACGTATGCATATATATGCATTGGAAGACTCGTGAGAAAATGTATACACATGTATAGATATGAGGAGAAGTGTGGCATCAGGATTGGAGGAAGAATCATCAACAATCTGCATTATGCAGATGACACAACCATGCTTGCTAAAACTGAGGAGGACCTGAAGCATTTGCTGTGAAAGGTCAGGGACTGCAGTCTTCAGTATGGTTTGAGGCTCAATATCAAAAACACAAAGATTCTCACCACTGGGCCGATTGGCAGCATTATAATGGATGGTGAAGAGATTGAGATTGTTCACAGTTTTGATTTGCTTGGCTCCATAGTCAACACTCTTGGCACCAGCAGCCAGGAAATGAAAAGACGTATTGCGATGGGAAAGTCTGCAGTTAGAGACCTCTTTAAAGTACTGAAGTGCAGCAATGTCAGTCTGGAGACTAAGGTGCGCCTGATACAGGCCATGGTCTTTGCAATCACTTGCTATGCATCAGAGAATTGGACAATGACTAGGGATGATAGAAGGAGAGTTGATGCCTTTGAGCTTTGGTGCTGGAGAAGAGTATCGAATATACCATGGACTGCTAAAAGAACAAACAAGTTTGTCCTGGAGAGGGTGAAGCCAGGCTGCTCCTTGGAGGCAAGGATTCTGAAGCTTCGTCTGACATACTCTGGACATATTGCAAGGAGGGACCAGTCCTTGGAGAGGGACGTCATGCTTGGGAGGGTGGAGGGACAGCACAGGAGAGGAAGACCCTCGATGAGATGGATTGATTAAGTAACTGGGATAATGGGCGTAGGTGTGTCAGATTGGTGAGATTGGTACAGGATAGGGTAGAGTTTAGGGCTGTTGTACATAGAGTCGCTGTGAGTTTCAGACAACTCGATGGCACATAACAACAACATATATGTTATATATAATATATATTGTATATATCACATGCATGCAAGATTCTGCTAAAAATGATCCAAAAAGGATTGGAACAGCACATTAGCAGAGAATTGCCAGATGTTCAGGCTGGGCTTAGAAGAGGCCATGGTACTAGGGATATTGTAGCTAATGTCAGATGGGTCTTGGCTGAAAGCAGAGAGTACCAGAGGAATGTCTACCTGTGTTTCATATGCAAAAGCTTTTGACTATGTGGATCACAACAAACTGTGGCTGACTCTGAGAAGAATAGGAATCCAGAATATTTGAATTTGCTTATGTGAAACCTATACTTGTACCAGGAGGCAATTGTCAGAACAGAGCAAAGAAACAGTGCATGATTCAAAATTGGGAAAGGGTATACACCAGGGATGTATCCTATCTCCATACCTTTTCAGTCTATATGCAGAACAGATTATGTGGGAGGCGGGGCTCTATGAGGAGAAATGTGGCATCAGGATTGGAGGAAGATGAAATCAACAACCTGTGTTATGCAGATGACACAACCTTGCAGCAACTGAGGAGGATCTGAAGTGTTTGCTACCAGAAGGTCAAGGATTATAATCTTCAATATGAATTGAAACTAAACATCTAGAAAACAGATTCTCACCATGAGGCTGATTGACAGCATTATGGGTAGATGGTGAAAAGATTGAGATTGTTAATAATAGCTTTCGTTTTCTTGGCTCCACAATGAATAGTCTTAGTACCAGCGGCCAGAAAATCAAAAGGCTAAATGTCTGCTGTCAGGGACATCTCCCAAATACTGAAGAGTAACAATGTCAGTGTAGGTACTAAGGTTTGCCTGATCTAGGCCATAGTCTTCACAGTTGCTTGCTATATATCAGAGCTGGACGATGACTAGGGATCATAGAATTGTTGCCTTTGAGCTGTGTTGCTGGAGAAGAGTGTTGAATATACCATGGACTGCCAGAACAAATAGGTTCATCCTGGAGAGGGTGTAACCGGGCTGCTCCTTGGAGGCAAGGATGCTGAGGCTTCATCTGGCATACATTGGACATGTTGCAAGGAAGTACCAGTCCTTGGAGAAGGACATCATGCTTGGGAGGGTGAAGAGACAGAGGAAAACCCTTGATGAGATGGATTGATGCAGTGACTGGAGAATAAGGGTAGGTTTGTCAGAGACAATAATAGAGACAGCGCAGGATAGAGCAGGTTTAAGGGCTATTGTACATAAAGTCACTATGAGTTGCAAGCAAATTGACAGCACATAGTAACAACAAGAACATATGCTTCATACGTATTCTTATACATTTTAAACCACATAAGAAACATTCTCAGACTGACTTTCTAGACGTTATCAAACCTTTTCAGTTAGAAGGGTTGGAACTGTAATCTCAAGGAACAGTTTGGTCAGTCAGAATAGCACAGTTCAACATAATACTTTACGTTTGGTGAGTAGTATATTAGGTCTAAAAATACTTGTAAGTGGCCTTCTGATATGCAACTATTAATGTGTACTTATATGATACAAAATAGAATGAAGGAATCAAAGAAGAAACTAATTGTGGAATAACCCATATAAACCATACCATTGTCTAGCCTGAGACCAGAATCTGGTGGTGTTGCCTATCTGTTTCCTATTCTGATCAGGGACACAATAAATAAATCCTAGGTAGAATGGAAGAATTGGAGAACAAAACTCAAATTTCCTGACAAGAACATATCTATTGGACTGATAAAAGACCAGAAAGATACTTGAGACTCCTATACACTATTAGATCTAAAGACACTCCTTTCATCAAATAAGAAATTGGTTTATAAAAGAGTATCATCCATTAAAGAACCAGACACTGTATCATCTCTGAATACTATCCTCCCTTCAATAATCTAATATATAAGACTTACCAACAAATATGAGATGATAGAAGGCAGAGAATCTAGGGTCAGGAAAGAATAATGGAAGTGACAAAATATTGTTGACACATTGTAAACGTCATGAAACAGTTTGTATAAAAATCGTTAAATGGAAACCTAATTTGCCATGTTAATGTTAAATACTGTTTTTAAAAAATAGGTGAAAATATACAAATTCTGAATACATAAAAAAATTATGTATTTTTTTTTTAAGTTAAAGAGTGCAAAATAACCATCATGTACCTTTTACTTGTGTCACTTTGATTATTCTCTGCCTAGTCAGTCACTTCATTATGTTTTTATAATTCTCAGGCATATTTGATGCAAAGTTTATCTACACTGTGATGAACTTTGGTAGGTTTAATTTATTAAGGGTAGATAGGACAACAGTCTGCTTCAGTGTTTTCAATTTACACTTAATGTCATGAACTACTTTTCTGTTTTTCAGATGCTGAATCCCCACGCAGAGAAGACCTTTATACGAAATAAGGCTGCCCAAGTCTTTGCCTTGCTTTTTGTAACCGAATATCTAACTAAATGGCCCAAGTTTTTTTTTGACCTTCTCTCAGTAGTGAACCTAAACCCAAGGGGAGTAGATCTATACCTTCGAATCCTCATGGCTATTGATTCAGAGTTGGTGGATCGAGATGTGGTGCATACGTCAGAGGCAAGTAGCTTCTTGAATTTGTTAGTAATGTAGATTTTGTATGGGATGGTGGATACATAATAAAAGAAGTAGGAAGATTAACTTTTTTGGAGACAAATATTCTTCATAATTATAAATTTATTCAGTTTTTTTACTTGTATTTTACAAAGGAGCTTAACTTATTTAAGTATAGGATGAAATGATAGTATTAGATATTTTAACTAAGCAAATATTTTCTCCAAAATTTACCAATGAATTTGAAAAAAAGAGTCTGTATTTATGGTTACTGTATAAGCCTTGAGGGAAGAAAACTAATGTTTATGAATTATCAGTGATAGATTCTTCTGATTTCTTAATTACATAGCTCATCTTTTTTCTAGATTTTCTTTTAATTATTAAAAGAATGAAAAATCAGAAATGTGTTTAATCATTTCAGATCATTGTATGTCTAAAACATAACTTTAGAGAATACTGTTTTTGAGATGTTGCCATTCTTAAACTTTTAAGTCTCACATTTCTAGAATATCTTGCGTCACATTCCTAACATTTCTACACAATGTATGTTTATAGTTTTGTTTAGTAATAAATCAAGTCTGGTCCTGAGGAATGGAACGGAAAGAGGAAATACAAAGAATCACAGGATATGATTTTAGAGTTGATAAATAGGAAATAGTGGCAAGCAGTGGGTCTGGAAGTGTTGTTCTGTTTAGTGCTGTTGAGTCCACTCCATCTTGTGGTAATCCTAAGTACAACAGAGAAAACCTTGCCTGATTCTGGGCCAGTCTTGCCGTCTCCAGCTTGAATCCATTGCTGCTTGCAGCCAGTTGATATCTAGACTGCTGCTTGCTTGTGTATTGATTGTGATCCAAGTAAAATGAAATCCTGGACAACAATCTTTTCTTCCTTTACCCTGATGTTTATATTGGTCCATTAGTAAGAATTTTTCTTTTCTTTACATTGAAGTGTAATCCATACTGAAAACTATAAGTCTTTGAGCTTCATCGATAAATATTTCAAGTTGTATTCATTTTTTGCAAGGAACGAAGTGTGGGAACAAGGAAAGTACTTTGCACCATTTCAGTGGCAGATATTTTCTCTATTTGGTATATTTTCTTTGCTTTCAGGAGGCTCGTAGGAATACTCTAATAAAAGATACCATGAGGGAACAGTGCATTCCAAACCTGGTGGAATCATGGTACCAAATCTTGCAGAATTATCAGTATACTAATTCAGAAGTGACATGTCAGTGCCTTGAAGTAGTTGGGGCTTATGTCTCTTGGATAGACTTGTCCCTTATAGCGAATGATAGGTAAGTATACCTCAGTTTAAAATACGAATCCATAAAATTCAACTACTATGTAAGATTTTGAAAATGTTGTAACAGTTTTCTTATAAACCCTATTACCAGGTTTATAAATATGCTGCTAGGTCATATGTCAATAGAAGTTCTACGAGAAGAAGCATGTGACTGTTTGTTTGAAATTGTAAATAAAGGAATGGATCCTGTTGATAAAATGAAGCTAGTAGAATCGTTATGTCAAGTATTACAGGCTGCTGGGTTTTTCAGCATTGACCAGGTCAGTAAATGTGTGTATAAAGTTTTGATAATTTTTGCCATGAATTAGGATGCCAAATAGAACTTTTTCTTTTTTTAATGTTCAAAAACTTTTTTGAAACAACAACAAAACCTTCCCTTGAGGTAATATTTTGAAAAAGCTTTATATCCAGAAATTCATAGTGCTAACTATGTCATTTACCTTGGACCATAGATTATAATCAGTTCTTAAATGTTAAGGTCTGGGGTGCAGTCTAAAATCGTGTGTTTCTAATTCCCATCTCATACTACTGGCCCATTCACTGCACTTTTGATAGTATAACCATGCCATTTATATGCCTGATTTTTTACTATGATTAAACTCTGTAATTGTGAATATTACATATTTATTATACTTTGAATTCTAACTCATTTGAGCTGGTAAACCCAGTAGAAGACTCTGAGTGTGGTAAAGTTCAGTGATGTAAAAACACATTTGAGGATTTCTTAAGTTCTGATGTGACCAAAGGTTACAAAATTACTAAGAAGTGTTTGTGCTGCTAGAAAAGAAGGAAAACAATCTTAAGCTTGATTCCTAACTTAACACTAGTATTACCTTAGGTAGATAATATCAGTTTTGTCTTCTTTCAGAAGAGTTGAGTGTCATATCATGATCAGGAAGGACTCTTAGTAGATTGTTACACATGTTGTACTACATTGTGGATATTAATATTGTATTAACTTTATTAGAATGTATTACGTTTGTACAGATTTCCTGAAACTACAGATCACTTGCTTTAAAAAGGTTTTGTATGACTGGTAATATGTTAATTGCTCTGTCACAAAGTTGCTGTAACTCAAGGTACTCTTATATGCAGTTAATGGAACAAAGCGCTTCCTGGTCCCTTACCATATCACAGTTGTTGCTGTATTTGAGCCCATTGTCATCACTATGTCAGTCTCTTAAAGTCATCCTTTTTGTCTTCTATCTAATGTGTTGTCCTTAATCCAGGGATTGAGCTCTCCTATAGCATGTTTCAAGTATATGAATTGAAGTCTCCCATCCCCACTTCTGAGTAGTATTTTGGCGATACTAAATCCAAGACAGATTTGTTTGTTCTTTGGCAGTTTATGGTATATTCTGATTTCTTCACTAATACCAAGGTTCAAAGATAGCATTCTTCATGAATTTCACTTACTTTTGTTTGGCTTTCTTATGCCTCTGAGGTGATTGAAAATATGACTTAGGTACACCTTAATCCTCAGGGTGACAGATAGCTTTGCTTTTGGAACACTTTAAAGAGGTCTTTTGCGGCATATTTGCTTAATGCAATATGATCTTTGATTTGTTTATAGGACAATTGTCATTAAAAATAGCTAATTTTTAAGAGTACCTAGGGAACTCAAACTTACTTGCCAGTCAGTTTGGATTCATAGCAACCTCTATTGGGTTTCTGAAACTATAAAATGGGAAGTGGCTTCTCGTCTTTCTCACACAGAGTAGCTATTGAAATCAAGCTTCCCAAAACAAGCAGCTTTTTGATTAGCATCTTAGCACTACCTGCCACCCCATCAGAGCTTCCTAAAAAATCCTAGTGAAAAAAATTTTAACAGAAACTCAAATTCTAAAAATTCTTCTGTCAAAATGATGGAATTGTTAAAGAGCTCTTATCACCTTAAAAGTAAATCCTATAATTGGCATTTGCTTCATATTGATGTTTAGATTTTTTTTTTCCTCTCTCATTTAATGGGTAGCTTTAAATTGATGTTTGTTTTGTTTATAGGAAGAAGATGTTGACTTCCTAGCCAGATTTTCTAAGTTGGTAAATGGAATGGGGCAGTCATTGATAGTTAGCTGGACTAAATTAATTAAGAATGGGGATATTAAGAATGCTCAGGATGCACTCCAAGCTGTTGAGACCAAAGTGGCTCTGATGTTGCAGCTCTTAATTCATGAAGATGATGACATCTCCTCTAACATCATTGGATTTTGTTATGATTACCTTCATATTTTGAAACAGGTTAGTGCTTATTTTGATCCATTTGTCCCTTAAGTAATATAAAGGGGTCATACTGAATTGGGAAGATACCCATAAAAGAGAGATCATTTCTTAGCCAGAAAATAAGAAAGGGTAGTTTCTAAAATTCACTTGAGTAACAAACTTAAGAATTAATTGTCTGCCAAGGTTATGTTTTCTATATTGGACCTTTATTTCATCTAATTTATGGACAGCTCATACAGGCCTTTTAATGCAGGCCTTCCTAACCAGTTTTGCCATGACTGATGAAGGGATATAGGAAACAGACCTGAATTTTTAGTTTGATTCATTCTGCAAGATAACTGGAGTAGAGAAAATGGCAAGGTCAGTGCCCTGGAATGGGAAACCCTTAAAATGTACAATTAGCCCTTGTAGGAGCCTGATACACACACACACACACACACACACACACACACACGGCATCGTTGTGTGAGGGCAGTTCTTTAAAAAAAAATATCTACTGTTTTATTTACAAAGCTCATATGCATTGTTTTTTACACGAGATCTTTCCCATTTCCATCACTCCTACCTCCCTCCACCCATCCAACTATGTGACCCTGTGATTATTCCCTGCCTACCCACCTCCCCTAGCCCATCCTTAGTCTTGTGCTTCCACTCTTCCCCATCCCCATCCTCATTCTACAATATTTATCCTTATGGGACTGAGTTCACTTAGCATAATGCTCTCCAGTCCTTCCCAAGTTAGGTAGTAATTTACAAAATCATTGCTCCTGCATACTGTCAATAAGAGAAATGTACGTCAGAACCACAAAGAGTCACCATCTCGGTCCGGTAGCAGTGGCAAAGTTTAACAAAACAGTAAGTAATAAATGTTGTAGAAGATATGGAGAGATAGGAGATATTATACACTGTTGATGAGGTTGTAAACTGGTACAACCCCTCAGGAAGGTAGGCAGACATTTCTTCAAAAGGCTGAACATAGAAATTTCATATGACCCAGCTATTCTACTGCTTGGAATATATCCCAAGAAAATGAGAACTGAGGCAGAAACGGAGAGTTGTACACCAATATTCATAGCAGTGTCATTTACCATTGCAAAAACATGGCAACAGCCCAACTGTCCAACCACAAAGGAATGCATTTGAGAAATTTTGGTACATTCACATGATGGAAAGAAAGCCCTTCTTTTAACTAAGGCAAATTTGCCTTCACTTTGAAGTGATCTAAGCAGTCCCTGCTCTTGGTAATTTCTTAATCATGGTTGCTTTGCTTATTGCATGTGCAGTCTTTAAATCACTTAAGTTTCCTTTGTAAGCCTTTTCTTGTGCTTAAGATACCAAACCCCTTGCTATTAAATGTGATTTATAACAACCCTGATTTCCAAGGCTATAAATATTTATAGAAGTAGACAGTAGTATCTTTCTCTTGCAAAGCCATGGTGGGTTTGAGCTACCAGCTGCTTTTGATTTTTAGTCAGGTGCACAACTGCTGTATCATAAATACTTTTTTTTTTCCTTGCACTAAAGTAATATGAAATATTCTAACTCAACCTGCACATTCTTATTAATCTGTATTTACTAACCTAGGGACTGCCTGTACAGTAAAAGCTTGATTGAACACAATTATAATTTCTTGTAACAGCCTTTTAAAGAATTAATAACTTTATATTATGACATATGAGAGCACTATTCTTTTATGTGTTTAGGGTTAATTGAACAACATCGAGTTTAGACATTTTTAGAGGCAATGAAGATAATCCATGGAGGTATCACTTGATTTTTGCAAGATTACTTTCAACGATTTTGTATTTATTAATGACTTCCATTAGTATCTCTTTTTTGCTAATTAAAAAAAAATGGAGATTTTTTTTTATTTACTGAAAAAAGGTGAACTAGGGTTCAGTATTAATTTTGTAGTAAAGCATTAAAGATGGATGCAGTGTGCACACCTAAAAGTGAGAACAGCATCACCAGACTCCTTCCTCAGAAACTATACTCGGAATCAAGCTTAGAACTGTATCTGTAAACACTATGTAGCACTGTTAAATTGGGTTCTGTATGCTATTTGTTGTGACTGGGTAGGTTAACTTTTGGCTTTGGGAATGCTAAAAGAATTTTTTCACATAAATTTATGGTAATTGCTTTTTTGCTTTGCCAGATTGACTTATGAAAAGATACATGGAAATGTTCTACTTACAGTACAAACCTATACTGAACATTACTAGACCACCCTATGGCTCAAACTAGTATCATTTTCTTAAAAGCTGAGATCATAAATGTTTATTTATTAAAGAGACAGGGAGGCAGTGTGCACTCCTACCTACAAGAATGGATCACCACGCTACTCATTCTAGAGCTGCACTCACATTAAACTCTGATAGCCTTTGAACTGTATCTGTGAACGCTATGTTAATATCATATTAGTTATATGTTAGTGTTATGCTGAAATGGAAACTCATTGCCATCCAACTGGCTCCAACTTATAGTGTGCTCCCATCCAGTTTCTGAGGCTTTAATTGAAGAGGGAGGAGACTGCCTGTCATTCTCTCGTGGAGCTGCAGGTGGGCTCAAACCACCTGAGATGCTCAGCTTTGAATCAGCCCTGCAGCTTGCTATACAGACCAGGGTCACCAGAATTCCCTGGTTTTATATTTAATGTGCTTTTTTGGGCTAAAAATCTTAATATTCATCTGTATATCATTGTCTGCTTACTCAAGTTATTTATGACTTAAAATTGTAAGATCTTACTGTAAATACATTTTAACTATAGTCAAATGTTGCCTTACTGCCTTCTGGAAGAATTATGACCTTGTGTTAAAAGATCTTAAATGATTATAAAAATATTATGATAAGCACATATACCACTAGGAGATCTAATAAATAAATTATTGCTGCTCTTTTAACAGCTTGCAGTGCTCTCGGATCAGCAGAAAGCTAATGTAGAGGTAAATTGACTTACTTGCTTTATGTAAACAGATCATAACTTTTCTAGAATCTGCCTTGAAATAGATTTTCATTTTAAATTAAATTATAGGAGATAGATTGACAAAGGTGTTCTTATTTTTAGGCAATCATGTTGGCCGTCATGAAAAAATTGACTTACGATGAGGAATACAATTTTGAAAATGAGGTAACAATTTTTCACTGAAGGGAAATCCATTTCAGTTGCTCTGTTTATGTTCATATCCTTTTAAAACAAAACATTTGAAAACTTAGTGTTGTTTATACTGACCTCAACCTTAGGAACAATTAATGGAATCTTATTAGTCTTTCATTTTCAAATTTTTCCATATCCGTTCTTTAAAAAGGGCTTTAAAAAGTTCTTTAAAAATTTTATATTGTCACATTGAGTAAAAGTATTGATACAATGTATATGTAAAATTGTATCTTATTTTGCATTTAGTTAGAGTGGTGAATTGAGGCCCAGTGGTCTTCAGACCATAAATCTCTGAGGGAGATTGGGAACGAGGCACTAAATCTCTTATCCAGGGTTGCAGGAAACTGCCCTCGGGGTGCTTTATAGTGACTCATGGAACATACAGTTTAACTGTGTGATAAAGTAATTCCTCATCTCAGACAATCTCAGCTTGGACTTTTAAAGGGTAATGAAAATAACCAACACTCTATAAAATTATCCCACACCAGGCTTGTTATATACAGTGACTATATGCATGTAGTAGTATAGCTATATTTTATAATGGACGTGGGAGACATAGAGTAAATAAGATGGAAAATGCTCACAGCGCCCAACATGAACATATTCTGGTGCTTCACTGTTCTGCCTTTCAATGTATAGGACTATATTCACAGATAATGTTTTTGAGGAGGCATAGCAAAAGCATAATAATAGCTGCCTTATGTTTATATTAAAAAATACTAAAATGATAAAAAAGAGATGGTTTTTAACTTGTAAGTACAGAAGACTACAAGATGAAAATTTTACATGTATTTTAAGATGTAATTTTATATTTTGAAAATATATTGTAGGGTGAAGATGAAGCCATGTTTGTAGAATATAGAAAGCAACTGAAGTTATTGTTGGATAGGCTTGCTCAAGTCTCACCAGAGTTACTACTGGCTTCTGTTCGCAGAGTATTTAGTTCTACACTGCAGTAAGTTGTTGTTTTGTTCTTAACATATCCTTCCTTATTGCTTTGTTACCTGTGGTGTTTTAAAATAAGTGGTTCATGTGATCTGCTAAGCACATGAGTAGATCACACACGCTTGAACCTCCTCTCCACACATTCCATGTATCTTTGTAAGCAGTTTGCTTCTCTTGTCTCCTTGATTTCTCTTGATCCTTGGGGAAAATGTTTCTTGGGACATAGACAGTAAAATGGGTAGTATCAATTATTTTTGCTTTCGTGATAGAAATTATGACATTTCAGTAGTTAAAAAGATTCTCGTTGATTTCTTATCCTGTGTATCAGGAGTTGCATTAAAAAAGTTTATGTTCATATCTTAGTGGCATATTATTACCCTTGCAGGAATTGGCAGACTACACGGTTTATGGAAGTTGAAGTCGTAATAAGATTGCTGTATATGTTGGCAGAAGCTCTTCCACTATCTCATGGTGCCCACTTCTCAGGTGATGTTTCCAAAGCTAGTGCTTTGCAGGATATGATGCGAACTGTAAGTATACTGAAGATAATTTTTAGAACTTAGCATCTATTAATATTGGGGCATTTAATAAATAAGAATTATTTCTTAATTTTTTTCTTGTTCCAGTTGGTAACATCAGGAGTTAGTTCCTATCAGCACACATCTGTGACATTGGAGTTCTTTGAAACTGTTGTTAGATATGAAAAGTTTTTCACTGTTGAACCTCAGCACATTCCATGTGTACTCGTAAGTATATAGTCTGTATTTTACTATAGGAATTTTGTTGTTTTGGGGTTTTTTGTTTGTTTGGTTTTTTTAAAATTTTCTGTGAATCAGTATCTAATCAGCAGGTAGTATTTTTTCAAAAACTTTATGTCTTTTGTGAATTTTCCATATCCCAAAGCTCTCAAAAAGAGTTTTTTGGCATATTGAAACTGAACTTTCCTTTTTGTCATAAAAAATTGTATATTTTCTGTTTAATCAGTTATTTAAAATACTTAAAATTAGCCTACCTAGACCTCTTTTTATGTAATGTAAGATTACTTACGAATATGGATTTATTAATTTTAGAAGAATATTCTTTAAAAGACACAGCAATTATTTGTCTGTTTGCTGTACTGAACAACTTGGAGTTGCTGTGATGCTGAACACTATCCCATGTTGTTGTTGACTGCCATTGAGTCGAGTGCAACTCATAGCAACTCTATGAACAAAAGACCTAATGCCTTTCCATAACTCCAAGTTTATAGAGTTTCTGGAGGCATGTGGTTTAGGAAGTGGATGTTTCCAAACCTGTTTTACAACTGGGAACTCCACCAAACACTGTCCACATTGGGAAGCCATTCTGGTATTTGATACCGCAGTGGTACAAGGTTCATCATCACAGCAACCCAGGTTACTTCACACTACACATTGACAAAAAGTGATGTACAAAGTGGAAGAGTGTTCCTCCAGATAGAACAGCACTAGTTTCACTTAGCGGTGGTTAAGTGTCATCAAGTCAAATATGACTGTGAGAGTCAGTTTTGCACAAAAGACCTAAACTCTGTTCTATGATTAACATCTTTTCTGTACATTTAGAGAGTTTGTAGAGTTTCCAGAGGCATTTAGTTTAGGAAGTGGATGCCACTCCTGCTTCCCAGCATAAATCAGTCTGGAAGCTCATCCAAACATTGTACATAGTGGGTAGCCGTTACAGTATTTGACAAGACTACCTGGAAGAGTCTGCAGCATCACAGCAACATCAAGTTGTTCAGGTCAGCAAATAGACAAAAGATTGTTTTGTCCCTGGGGAATTTCATTTGAAAATTAATAAATTTGGCCTGAGGGCCACAGGCCAGAGGGCTCTCCAGGTTTTAAGCCACCGCCTTTGAGCAGACTCCCACCCTATGCAAAGACTCAAGGACAACCCACTCTTGGGGGTAAAAGAGCAGTAATACATATCAAAGATGACCACAAAAAAACATGACCCCAAAACTTCTCTTTACTTGCCCATCAGGACCACCATCCACAAGCAGCAAAAAGCCAAATTCCCAGAGTGGAGTCTTCTAGAGCCCTGCCAGCAGTCCCCTCCCCTCCCCCTGCAGGGTTTTTAAGCCAACACTTTTGAGCAGACTTTAAGGACACTTGCTTTTGTGGGGAAAAGAGCAGTAATAGACATCAAAGATGACCCAAATAAAACCACAACCCCAAAAACTTCCCTTTACTTACCCCACTGTACCATAGTCGTGTCAAGTAACCATAAAGGTTACTCATTATGTACAGTCGTTGGATGAGCTTCCAGATTAGATTCATATTGGGAAGCAGGAGTGGCCTCCACTTCCTAAACTAGGTGCCTCTGGAAACTCTACAAACTCTCTTATAAAGGTACAGAAATTATGTTAATCATAGAACGGAGTTCAGGTCTTTTGTACAAAGCTTACTCGAGTCATATTTGACTCGACAACACTTATCCACCGCTAAATGAGTCTAGTGCTGTTATATCTGAAGGAACATTCCTCCACTTTGCACATCACTCTTTGTCAGAGTGTTAAATGAGGTAACCTGGATTTGCTGTGATGCTGAACCTTGTTCCATGGGGATATCAAAATACCAGAATGGTTTCCCATTGTGGACAGTGTTTGGTGAAGCTCCCAGTTGTAAAACAGGTTTGGAAGCAGGAGTGGCATCCACTTCCTAAACCACATGCCTCTGGAAACTATGAACTTGGAGAAACAGTGATAGCTACGGAAAACATTAGGTCATAGAGACGGTATGAATCGACCTCGACGCAATGGCAATCAACAACAACATATATACCTAGTCCTTGCTTTCTAGAAATGCCAAAGTAAAATTTTATGACTGTAAATGATACAAGTATGGGAATAAAATCAGAACTAGTAAAAATATCTCTTTGTGTAGATGGCTTTCTTGGACCACAGAGGTCTGCGGCATTCTAATGCAAAAGTACGGAGCAGAACAGCCTACTTGTTTTCTAGATTTGTCAAATCTCTCAAGTAAGTACCCATAATAGTTACTGTGTTTGGTTATTTTTATTTAGATCATTAAATAGATAAATTATCTTCCTAAAGCTTGTGATAAATTTGGCTTTCTTTTCTAAGAGGGTTTTTTTTTTTAAAAAAAAAAAGCAAATGATACCTTTTTAAAATACTATATAACTGAATTTTCTGCTCATTACTTATTCATCACTGACAAATGGTTTGTTCATCCTTTTTGGTGTAACATCTGTCATCAGTGACATTAATTTCTAAATAAGCTACCAGTTGTATTATTGTATGTAGATCCGTATATGAACCTTCTTGAAATAAAAAATGAATACATACTTGAAAATACATTTTAAATCTAATCTATTTTGTATCTTTTACTAATACCAAGTTTTCTTATGAAGCTGCTTGCTAATGATTTTCCTTTTTGTCTTTATTCAGTAAACAAATGAATCCTTTCATTGAAGATATTTTAAATAGAATACAAGACTTACTAGAACTTTCTCCACCTGTAAGTATTCTTTATTTTAGTATTAATTCTTTTTGAGAGCTTTTCCCCATCAGCCTCACTGTTAATTTAATGCTCTTTTGAGCCATTTTTTTCCACAAAAAAAAAAAAAATAATTTTTTTTCGTCGATAAGGGTTGTTTCTTTTTACTGATATATGTGTTAAAATATAGCAAAGAAAACTTAGTAATAGAAGATGAAATGATGACAAATAAATTTGGTAGCGTGAGGTATTTACTCTTTGTATTAAATCTACTAATGATAGGTAGTAATTGATAAAGAAGGAAAAAATTGAGTTTTCTCTAGTTACTATTATCTCGTTAGCAATTTTCATTGTCTATGACTAGTAGACTGAATTTTTTCTGTGTAATCACAGGCATAGGGTAAAAATTTTCAATATTTCTTGATCTGAATTCATTGTTTTTGAGAGTATGTTGTAGTAGAAAAATTTAAGACACTTTCTAAGTACATTTTGAATTATACATGCTTTTGTGTAAACTGACAAACTTTAATAAAAGTTATTACGATCTTTCACTTGGAAGTATTAAAAATATATATATAAGGTAGTCACACTTTCATTATTGAAGCAGAATATTCATCCTTTAGGATATGAAAGTTACATAATTTTATTACCTGAGAAGTTACTAGTGTTTTATTTGGTTGTCTTGGCCTCTGTATTACACAAAAATTAGTGCCACACTGATTCATAAAATTTAGGCATTCAGAAAGCTATATTATAGGTAATGGAAATATGTTTTCATACTATACAAATAAACAGCAACTTGTACTGTTCCTGTAGTCTTTTCTTCAGGATATAAAAATTCCTGATTGAAGTTGCTGTTCCTGAATATTAAAAAATTATGTGTACCTGTTGTTTTGGGGGTTTTAAAAGTTATTTTATCAGTAAATTCTCAATTTCTAGCAAAAAGTGATAAATCCTAGGCAGCTACTTGAAAAAATATTTTGAACTATACTTCTGAGTAAAGACATTTCTCTTATGAGTAATTTTTTTATTTAATCACCCAACTCCACTGCAGTGTAATTGATTCCAACTTAATGGTAACCCTCCCAGGTTTCCAATACTGTTAAGTCTTAATGGGAAGAGAATGCCCATCAGTTGATACAAACACCAACTTTTCTCTTAGTAGCACAATATGCAATGAACTGTGCAACAAGAGTTCCTTAAAAAAATACATAATTTTAAAATATATTTTTATCCTAATTTTTTACATAATTTCTCAGCGACTTTATTATTGAAGCTACTGAAACTTCCAATCATTGTTTTGTGCTGTAGAGTCACTTACAACTCATAGAGACTCTGTACAACAGCTCTGAACCCTGCTCTATTCTGAGCCAACCTTATTGTCTCTGACACCTACCCCTATTCAAGTCACTAAATCATTCCATCTCATCGGGGGACGTCTTCTCTTGTGCTGTCCCTCCACTCTCCCAAGCATGATATCCCTCTCCAGGACGAACCTGTTTGTTCTCCTAGCAATTCATTGTATATTCAATACTGTGATCCAGCACCACCACTCAAAGGCGCATCAATTCTCCTTCTATCATGCTTAGTCATTGTCCAGCTTTTTTGACACATAGCAAGTAATTGTGAAGACCATGACTTTAGTTTCCAGACTGACATTGCTGTTCTTCAATACTCTGGAGAGATCCCTGACAGTGGATTTTCCAAAAGCAATTAGTTTTATTTCCTGGCTATTTGTACTGAGAGTTGTTGATTGTGGAGCAAAGCAAACTAAAACTGTTAACAATCTCAATCTCTTCACCATCTGTCATGATACTAATTAGAAATTTTGCAAATTTTTGTTTCAGTGAAAGTTTATAAAACAAACTAGTTTTCTATTCTACCTTTCATACACATTTTGTTTCATGACATTGATCTTAGTATCCACCCTCTTCCTACTCTGATTTTTGTTTCCATTAATCCTTCCATCCTACCTTATCTGTGGGCACATGCTGTCCTTTTATATGGTTGATCTAAGAAGTAAGTGTCTCCCTAGAACTGTTGATTATTGGACTGAAAGTTGAACCAAAGGAGTAATTTTTGCTATAGGTTTGAAGGGTAATTTAAGGACTATTGGGGATTACAATCTTTATAATATCAGTAAGTCTAGCCATTTTTGTTATATTTTATTCCACATTTTTCACCCATTCTATCTAGGACCACTTACTGTAATCTCTTTTAGAGTGGTTTGCAGTGGTAGCTGGGCACCATGTTTACATTGGAAGTTTGTATAGCAAATGGAATTATCATTTTAAGATTTTTATAACTTTATGCCAATGGTTTAAAATTTTAACAATGTGTTAGCATTCTTGTTTCCATTCTGTTTCTCCAATCTAGCTTTCATTCTTTTCTTTGCTGCCTTTGTTGTTTTGTTACATATAGTTCATCCTTGAAGGAAACACATTACCCATGAATGATACTGTTTATTTTATAAGCAGTGTATTATGTGGCTGAATGATGCCCTGTTGAAATTACTTCAATTCCATGGCTAAAGGTCATTTTATGGTGATAGTTTCAGGGGTTCCCCTCATTACTGGTATGATACTTAGCCTTTTTTAGAAACTTGAATTTTCTTCTTTTTTTCCTCTATCCAAGAACCTTCTATTGTGTCCCTAGGCAGAATGGTAGCTAAGTGTTAGCTAACACTGCTAGTAGTTAGTTTTTCTGGTCTTAGATAAAGCCATAGTTCATGTGGCCTCTTAGTCCTATGCGTTAGTTTTTGCTTTGAGCCTCTGAGTTCCTTTATGGTCTTTAATTCCATACCAGTAGAAACCAGTAGTTCTATTTCACATGGCCACTCACAAGCTTTTAAGCCCTCCAGATGCTACTCAACCAAACTGGGATACAGAACATGAATTCATTTATGAATTAATTATGTAAGTTAATTTGTCACCTGAGATGATCCTTTTTGAGCCAAAATTTGAATCTCCTAAGACTTTAGACCCAGAAAATACAACCTTTCAGATGTTTTCATTATGTCTAGAATACATTCGTAATTGTGACCCTCTCTTTGACTTACCAGGAGCCCTAATGGTGTAGTGCATTATGTTTTGGATTTGAGCCAAAATCAGTCAGGGTTTGGTTTTGATGTTCTTTATTATATGTATATAAATATATAAATAATATACACATATACACAGATGTACACACAAGATGCTCTCAAAGAATTGGCAAAAACAAGGCCCCAGGAATTGATTGCATACCAGTTGACATATTTCAACAAATAGATGCTGCCCTGGATGTGCTCACCAGGTTGTGCCAAGAAACCTGGAGGACAACCACCTGGCCAACTGACTGGAAGAGATTTTATATTTGTTCCCATTCTAAAGAAAGGTGACCCGGCAAAGTGCAGAAATTGTCAAACAATATCATTAATATCACATGCAAGTAAGATTCTGCTGAAAATTATCCAGAAATGACTAGAACAGCACATCAACAGAGAACTGCCAGAAGTGCAGGCCTAGTTTAGAAGAAGCCATGGTACTAGGGATATTAATGTTAGAGGAATCTTAGGTGAAAGCAGAGAGTACCAGAGGAATATTTGTCTGTGTTCCATTGACTAGGAGGATCATAACAAACAAGCTGACACAGAAGAATAGGAATCCCAGAACACTTGATAATGCTTATGTGAAACCTATACTTGGGCCAGTAGGCTGTAGTCAGAACAGAGTAAAGAAACAGTGCATGGTTCATAATTGGGAAGGATGTATGCCAGAGATGTGTCCTATATCCATCCCTTTTCAATCTATATGCAGAACAGATTATCTGGGAGGCTGAGCTCTATGAGGAGAAATGTGGCATCAGGATTAGGGGAAGATCTATCAACAACCTGCGTCAGGCAGATGACACACTCTGCTTACTGAAACTGAAGACGACCTGAAGCACTTGCTGCACATGGTCAGACTACATACTTCAATATGGATTGAAGCTCAAAATAAGTAAAAAAAAAAAAATTTTCACAACTGGGCCAGTTGGCAACATCATTATAGATGGTGAAGAAATTCAGATTATTAACAGCTTCAGTTTGCTTGGCTGCACCATCAATACTCTTGGTACCAGCAGCCAGGAAATAATATACTGTCAGGCACTTCTCCAGAGTATAGAAGAGCAGCGATGTCAGTCTGGAGACTAAGCTTTGCATCAGGAAGCTTCACAATGGCTAGGGATGACAGAACTATTGATGCCTTTGAATCAAGGACTGCTAGTAGAACAAACAGGTTCGTCCTAGAGAGGGTGAGACAAGGGTGCTCCTTGGAGGCAAGGATTGATTCTAAAGCTTTGTCTGACATCATTTGGGCATGTTGCAAGGAAGAACCAGTCCTTGGAGAGGGACCTCATGCTTGCGAGGGCAGAGGGACAGCGCAAGAGAGGAAGACCCTAGACGAGATAGATTGATTTAGTGACTACAGTAATGGAGGTAGGTGTGTCAGAGACAGTAAGATTGCTACAGGATAGCGCAGGGTTTAGGGTTGTTGTATATAGGGTCACTATGAGTCGCAGGCAAAATCATCGTTACTCAACAATAGCATATACCTTGATCAAGTTGATCTGACTTCACCCCTAGTTTTGGTCTTACCTTTTTCATCACCAAGCCTACCAAGTACCTGTTATCTAGAATGTTATCTTCCTCAGCACCACAGTTTGTCTGTCTGTCCTTTTATGGCAATTACTTTCTGTCTTTTAGCTTTTGTAAATTATGATTCAATGAACAAAGGTGTGTGTCTAGTCATGTCTATTATCTCTAGAATACATGCCAAAGAGTCAGATTTCTAGATACTAAAATAGTGAATCTTAGCTCTTTGAGCAAGTGCCATTCTGTTTTCTATAGTCGTTATAGCCTTTTCATGGTCTTATTTTTTAATTGTTCTAAAATAATAGCTGAGTATCAATTTGAGTGTGTGTGTTTGCATTTTTGTTACTAAATTCTTAAACATTCTCTTAAAATACTAATTTCTGTGTGGTCATTATAGTACCATTCAAAATATTTTTTGTTATCTTCATATTTAGCCACATAACAATAATATGAATAAATAAGATTTTCTAAAAGTACACATAAGAAGGCTGACTCAAGTAATTATCTTTTATTACCTTTTGCAGTCTTACGAAGGCTAGAGTTAAAATCATGATCTTTTTCTTTTAAAAACTGGTGTTTTGAATGGAAGTTTACAGAGTGGATTTTATTTGCTCCACCTATTCATGCAGTTTGTTTTATATCATTATTAAGAACTCCAGATTGTGATTGCACTCTCTGATTCTTAGTAGAACCATTATTTTTTGACAGTTCCATTCTCTTTGCATCATATGCTTCTGGGAGTAAATTTGTTTTTTATGAGTATTTGATTTGCTATTTTTAATAATTAATTCATGTGAAAGATTTCATCTCTTTTCCATTTTTGTATTTTTTCTGATGAAATGAAACTTCATTAAGACTGAATTTCATTGTAGGAGAATGGTTACCAGTCCTTCTTGAGCAGTGATGATCAGTTGTTTATCTATGAGACAGCTGGAGTGCTGATTGTCAACAGTGAATATCCAGCAGAAAGGAAACAAGCATTAATGAGGAATCTGTTGACTCCACTGATGGAGAAGTTTAAGATCCTATTAGAAAAACTGATGCTGGCACAAGATGAAGAAAGGCAGGCGTCTCTAGCGGACTGTCTAAACCATGCTGTTGGATTTGCCAGGTGAGTGTGATCTGCAGTAAAATCATAATGGTTTTGTTTACACAAAGCCTGTTATTTGAATCTTTTAGGATTGTGCACAGATAACATCTAAAATAAAATTGTCCAAAGAGTTATCTGAACATTTCTCTTTTAAAGCAGTGAATTAGAAGATTTAGCAGAGATAATTAGGTCCGGTAACATTCTTCATTTCTGCCTTGACAACTAAACGTAATCTTTAAATAATCTAAATTCTGTAGTATAAATTAAGAATTTATTTAGGTGGTTAACTAATAATCTTTCATATACTAGTGACTAATTGGGACATCTTGGATAGGTCTTGGAGACGACTTTTTTGTATTGTACCCTGAAGACACCAAAACCACTTTTCTACCTATACAATAGCTAGACAAAAGATTATTAATTAGAAGTTGTACAGAGAAATTATTATAAAGAATTCTTAAGAGAAAGATAGAAATTATATCAATAACTTGGGTCTAAACATTTTTAAATTTAAATTAGTAACTTGAAGATTGTACAGCTTAGTCATCATCATCATACAAGTGGATTTTTTTGCCTGTTATTAGAATTTTAGTAAAATATATAAATAGAATTGCCATTATAGATAATATGTTAACCAAATCATATTAATTTAATTCCATTTGCACTCTTGCTTTGGAAAGGTAAGTGTAAGCAGTGGTTTACAAATAACCATATAAGTAAAGCGGGTCATAATTATGACATGAAAAAGAAATAATTGAGTCTTTGTCAGTACTGGAATTTATTGTGCATTGCTTTTTATTACTTCATTGTACTTTTAAAGAATGTAGTTCTAACTAGTCTGGTTTTATTTATGTAGTCGAACCAGTAAAGCTTTCAGCAACAAGCAGACTGTGAAACAATGTGGCTGTTCCGAAGTTTACCTGGACTGCTTACAGACATTCTTGCCAGCCCTCAGTTGTCCCTTACAAAAGGATCTTCTCAGAAGTGGAGTGCGCACTTTCCTTCATCGGATGATTATTTGCCTAGAGGAAGAAGTTCTTCCATTCATCCCATCTGCCTCAGAACACATGCTCAAAGACTGTGAAGCAAAAGACCTCCAGGAGTTTATTCCTCTCATCAACCAAATTACAGCCAAATTTAAGGTGTGGTAAACTTTAGATTCAATGGCACCTAACAACGTAAACCTTCAGGGCTCACTTACCAGGTGTTGGTAAGTTGGTTGGTCTTGTGCTGTCAAATTGGAACTGACCTATAGGTGACCTCCCAACGTGTTTTCATCAACAGTAAATGCAGAAGCATACTCACTCTTCGCCCACAGAGCAGCTGGTGGATTCAAACCTCCTGCCTTTGGGATTGCTGCTCAGCTTCTTACCACTCAGTCACCAGAGTTCCCTCAAACTAGGCGGAAGCTAGCTAATAAGTGACTAATGCTTATATAATCAATCTGTATTCAAGATCTGTCAAATATTTTTCCCTACATTATCTCATTTGATCTTCCTAACACCTATTGTTAGGACTCATCACAACCTTATAGGACAGAGCAGAACTACCCTAGAGTCTCCAATGCTATAAATCTTTGTAGAAGCAGACTACTACATCTTCCTCCCACAGAACTGGTGTACTTGAACTGCTAAACTTTTGCTTACCAACCAGGAATTAAATTGTGTCACCAGGGTTTCTTCATAACCCAGAAGTAAAAAACTGAAGTATAGAAACCTTAAGGAAATTGCCTCGAATAGAGACACACACACACACACACACACATCTATAAAATCTGAAAACTTCATCATTAATTTAGCAGAATTCATTTCTTGAGGGTTTATATTTGAATATATTTTATGGACATATTCCCTTGTAAAATGTTTGATTTTAAGTTTCTTAAATCTTTCTAAAGTAGTAAAAGTTGTTTCTAATCTTCAGATACAGGTATCTCCGTTTTTACAACAAATGTTCATGCCTCTGCTTCATGCAATTTTTGAGGTATTGCTCCGACCAGCAGAAGAAAACGACCAGTCTGCTGCTTTGGAGAAACAAATGTTGAGGAGGAGTTACTTTGCTTTCCTGCAAACTGTTACAGGCAGCGGAATGAGTGAGGTCATAGCAAATCAAGGTGGGAAGCCTTGTGGTGTCTTCTGTTGTTTGCTTCTTGTCACAGTTGTACAGCTGTGTGAGCAGGAGGTAGCTGAAGGGAGCACTAAGTTTCTGAAGTGATTGTATATTGGCTTCTAGAATGACAATTCATCATTGGGAGGGTGAAAAGCACATTCACTTAGAACAACCATGAAACTCATTTGTATTGAAGTTTGTTTTTTCTTTCTTTCTTATGGGCAGTGTCTTTTGGTTTTTATTAGTAAAATTAGCATAGTTAGTGGTGGTCACTAAAGAGAACTGACCTGACAATGAAGTCCTCATGGTCAGTTTACCATTTCAAAATTAAATAGGACTGTATGGAGAATCCTACTTTCAAGTGAATATTGAATTTTTGTCATTTTACTCTTAAAGTTAGAAGCCTATTTAATAAAAATCTAAAAGTGATCTTACTTAAATTTTTAACTTGTTAGTTAGTGTATATGAATCAGAGCTTTAGATTGCCTTTTACCTTTTTTCCTTTAAATTAAAATTTTTCTCTCTTCAGGTGCAGAGAATGTAGAACGTGTGTTGGTTACTGTTATTCAAGGGGCGGTTGAATACCCAGATCCAATTGCACAGAAAACATGTTTTATCATCCTCTCAAAGTTGGTAGAACTCTGGGGTAAGTTTTTTCTCAGCTTGTTTCCTATAACATTTAGCAATGAAATGTAATCCTAGCCCCAACATGGAAGCAAGAACTGATTTTTCTTGGTGGTAAATTAACTAAATTTTGTTTCTGTTTTAAGACAATGTTACTTGCAATATCTAAAACCTGAAAGTAAACCAAATGAGCCTCAACAGGCAAATGGAACAATCATCGCACATTCACACAATGGAATACTATTAAATAGTCAAAAGGAGTGAATGATAGATACAATAGCATACATTTATCTAAAAATAGTTATGCTTAGTAAAGAAATTAGATATTTTAAAGTGTATATTCGGTAATTCTACTGATATAAAAATTTTTTAAATGCAACCCAGTCTGTATTAACAGAAAGTCACTAATTATGTGGTGAGGAGAGTGTGGAAGAAAGGGATCACCAGAGGGGCATAAGGAACTTTGGCAGGTAGTAATTCTGTGCCTTAACTTGATTGGGGTGAGTCTCAGAGGTTTTTGTCGTTCATTGCCTTCAAATGGATTCTAACCTTTGTGTGCAGAGTAGAACTACTCTACAGGTTTGGGGGTGTTTTGTTGTTGAAGATATATACACCAAAAGGACAAGTTTCTCTCTAACCATACTCTTAATGCAGTTTTTCTATCACTGTAAACAGAACCTTAATATTTCATAAGCTATAGCTTCTTATTATCTCCCTCTTGCCTCTGGTAACTACTAATAAACTGTTGTATAAGTGAATTCATACAGTATTTGTACATTTTTTTTTATTAGTTTGACTCGTAGTCTTCAAGCTCCTTCCATATTGAAGCCCATATCAAGATTTTATATATTCATTTGTATCTGTGCACTACTTTTTATCCTACTACTACTACTATTTATCCATTCATCTGTTGATTGGCATTTAGGGTTTTTCCTACCTTTGGGCAATTGCAAATAATACTGCAATGAACATGATCTCTGAGTCTCTGCTTTCAAATGTTTTGAGCATATATCCAAAAGGAGTGGCATTTCTGCTTTATGTGGTCATTTTTTTTTAAGAACTACCATAATGTTTTCCATAACCATTGTAATAGTTCACATTCCCACCAACAATGGATAAAGGTGCCAATTTCCTTGCCATAAAAGGGGTTTTTTTAAATTGTTTGTTGTTGTTTTATAGCTTTTGTTTATTTATTTGTTACCCAAATCATCTTAGTCTTCTTGGTGGGACTTCATTGGTATTGAATTAACTGATATTAGTGGTTTTGACTGGCATATCTTGAATGGGATAACAACATTGATCATCTTTTCATATGTTTGAATGTTGTCTAGTATAATACCTCTTCAGGTTCTTTGCTCATGTTGTTGCTGAGATATAGATATATATAAAATAAAGGTACTGTGCTATTATTTTCATTGGACATATGGTTTCTAAAGGGATGCAAAATTGCTGCATGGAGCTGTTTGTGATGATGGTGCTAAGGATGCTACTGATAAACATTGTTTCATGACTTCCTAGAGTGGTTCACACGAAAGGTGAAGGGATCCTCCCTCCTTCGTTCTATGGGTCGGGAAAGAGGAGCCTTCAGCCATTCATTGGCTGTTATGTGGCTGTGCTGTGTTCCAGTATGTTGCTTCCAAGTTGGTGCACCTCACCTGTGACCTTTCATGGCAAGTGGAGTCCATGATCTCCAGAGTCACAAATATTGTCGATTTGAAAACTTCTTTTTTGGTTGGCATTGAAGGTTCACTCAGAGGCTTTAGTTTCTGTAGAATGCTATTGATTTGCACCTGTATTCTACCCATGCTAACTTCACTGCCTGGAGAGGTAATTTTTGCCTTTCCAGTGATAAAATGATCTACTATCTCTTAAAATACAAAAACCACAGTGAATGCCTCTGAGATGGATATTTATAACATAACCTTTATCAGAAAAGACTGCAGAGCTGAAAGAGGATGATGTTTGTACACAGCCATAAATTCACTAACGAAGATTCAGAAGGAAATGCTGCCTGAGCAGACCTGCCCAAGCCAGGAAACTGATGAGAACCAAAGTTAGAATATCAGCATTATAGTAACCTTTTACAAGGAGCTGATTGCTCCTTTCTTGAGAATGAATGAATTGGGGTATGAAGAGTAGGGTTTTGTTTCTTGTCACACTTACTTTCCAAAGGATTTGTGAAGCAGTTTAGAGAAGATGAGAGGAAACTAACAAGGCTTTTATTCAGGTTTCATAGCTGTTTCCTTTATATTGCTTTAGCTTTTAACTAATTTTAGAATATTTCCAAAAGCATTTTGACTCTTAAGGTTTAGGAGGCAATGTTCTATGTGTGCCTAGGATTCATTATTGCTATGAAAAACTGCCATGGAGCTATGATAGCCTCATTGCACTGCCAAGCCAAAGCCATGACATGGTTTAAATCCACCAGCTCCACAGAAGAAGGATGGGCAGTTTCCTCATGTAAGATTTATCGCCTATTAAAACCTGCTTAATGGTCAGCCGTGAGTCAGTTCTAACTCAACAGCACGTAATAGCAACAAAGATGTTAGTTATGTGCCGTCTAATCACCTGCAACTCATAGTGACACTATGCACAACAGCTCTGAAGGCTGCACTGTTCTGAGCACTGTTCTGCATTGTTCACTAGCTCTTGACACACCTACCCCAGTTGTCCTAGTTACTGTATCAATCCACCTTGTCTAGGGTCTTTCTCTCCTGTGCTTCCCTCCTCCCTTCCGAGTATCACGTCCTTCTCCAAGGACCAGTCCCTCCTGGCCACATGCCCAAAGTATGTGAGATGGAGCTTCAAAATCCTAGTCTCCAAGGAGAAACTTGGTTTCACCCTCTCCAAGACAGACCTATTTGTTTTCTTGGTGGTCCATGGTATGTTCAAGACTCAGCAACAAAGATAGTAATCATTTTATCAAAAGGTTGGCACTTCAGATCTACGAACCACTTTTTGATAGGATAAGCAATATCCTCACTCAGGCAAAGATTTATGGCTTTGAAAACTCAGTGGAAGGACACTATGATTTGGAACCTACTCAATGACAGTGGGTTTGTTATTGAGAATATACATAGCAAACCTATACCATTTCAACAGTTGCTGCATGTACCATTCCGTGACATTGATCATATTCTTCAAGTTGTGGAACTTTTCTCACCCTGCCTTACTAAGCTTTTCCTCCTCCATTAACATAAATTAATTGTCTTTAAGATTCCTGTCTAATCTTTTGAGTTGCTGTTGTCAACTTGATCCTGTTTAGGTTGTTTTTGTTTTTTTTCTATAATTATATTTTATTAATTTTCATAAACATTTACAGAGATTTTGGGCTTCCACTCATTCATTGTTGCACTATTCTCTCTACCCTCCTCCCAGTTTGTTCTTGTCCAAATGCCACAGTGCTTGTCAAAGCCAGTTCTGATTAATCTTCTTTGTCAGTGTATCCTTTGCCATTCCCTATCACTCCTCCCTGAGAGAGACTTCACCCTGAGTCATAAGGAAAAGGGGACGGCGTATTCTCTTAGCTACTTCCTGCTGAAAAGGGACGCTGTGGGTTTCAGGGTGAAGATCTTCTCTCACTACTCTAAAGGGCCCCTTTGGCAGTAGGAAACACATAGACTATTATGGAGATTGATTTTGGAATTCAGATGCACTCTTATTGATTGTGCTTGGCTGTACATGTACATATCCTTCAAGATGTATCATGGGGGTGTTGCAACCTAGAAGACACAAATTTGACTAACAAGTTATAAGTACATGAGTCCAAAAATTATGGAAAAGTAAAAGAAAAGATTCTTTCATTGTTTTACAAACCCTCCCCCAGGTCCCCTCCACCATGCAGCCCTCGCTCTAGTCTCCTGTGATGACAGAAATACCCAGTTACATCTCTCTTTTAAATGGTTCTCTCCCTCCTCTGTTTCAGTGCAGTATACATTATTGAACCCATCTTACTCAGTCTCTCCCCAACCCCAAGGACAGTCCCATTCTACAACAATGGCATCAAGTAATATTTGTCCTTTTGTGACTGGGATATTTCACTCAGCATAATGTTCTCCAGAGTCAACCATTTTGAATAATATTGCATGAGTTCCTTGTTTTTTAATGCAGCATAGTATTCCATTGTGCGAATATACCACAGCTTCTCTAGCCATTCGTTTGTTGATGGTAGGTTGTTTTTAAATGAACATAAGGAAGACTTGTTTAAAAATAGTTAAAAGATTTTTCAGAAATTTCTAGTTTAAAGATTATCTTGGAGCTATGGCATTTGTCCAGCATTTATAACTCCAAGAAGTCTTTGATCTATAAACACTCTATTTTGTCCTTGTAAGAATGGGCAATGTGTAACTGCTAATCTACTGTGAGGGCAGATAATGCCCCACATTTCAAGCTAACATTCCAGCACCAGCCATCCTTCGTATGGTACTTCTTTACTGAGTTCAGTAATTCATTGCAGTGAACACACTGCTCACAAACAGTCCTTACAGTTTGGGAATTTATGGATGAAATGTGACAACTTAGTGATGAGATTTGGAAACACTTAGTATTTCTGTCAGAACAGCTTCTTTTCAGGAATACTTTCAAGCAGGCTACTTGCTGACTCTTGGCCTTATGGCCTTGGCTTCATCTGTTTTGTTTCAGGCAGATGTTACAAAGCTTACTGAGTTCTGTCCCCCAGAACACATAACCTCCAGCTCTGCATCCTCACCAGTAAGCCTTAGCCTGAAGGCTGCAGGCTATAGCACCATGGGTTGGGCATAACTAGGTCTCCTGGCAAGAGCCCAAAGGTACTCACTCTGCCAGCAGATACTCAGCTTTTGCTCGCTGAAGCAGGAACCAGCAGCTCCATCTCACACCAGTCTGATTCTCTGTTGCCACTATACCTGCCATCTAGGCTGCCATGTCGTCATGTCCTGTCTCTCCCTCTCTCATTCATTCACAGAAAACTACACTCCAGTCTGGTTATGCTGATCTCTCTGGTTCTTCTTTCTTGATGGTAATGAGATTCCCATTTTCCACCTCTGGACCTGCTCTATTTAAACCTGGCAGAATGGCAAAACAGATCCACACATTAGCATTTATACACGTAATGTGTATTATTCTACCTGGCCATGTGATAAAAGTAACAAAATGGTGGCTTAGAATAATCACATCAAATAAGTTACCACAGTGGGCCTACTCTGAGAAGCATTCTAGTATGGAATCTTTTATCAAATGTTCACCAGTTGTTACCAGGGCCCATGTGGTTTCTTCTAGTCTCATGGCAAAAGAGACAGTTATTCATGGAGGCAGTTAGCCACACATCCCAGTCTTCCTCCTATTCCTGACTCTCCTTCCTCTGTTGTTCCAGGTGAATAGAAACCAATTGTTGTGCCTTGGATGGCTGATTGCAAGCTTTTAAGACCCCAGGCACTATGCATCGAACTAGGAGGTAGAACAGAAACACTAAACATATTATTGGTTGAATTAACTGGCATATCCCATGAAACTATGACCCTAGATCTCCAAATGAAGAAACCAAATCCCATGAGTTTTTTGGTTGTATATAAGCAGCATCAGTAAACTACTCTCCCCTCTCCCCCGTGCATCATTGTTAAATAAATGTACAACTTTTGCCAATTAAACTTTTTACATATGTATTGATAGCAATTACAGTAATTGGTTCTGCAACTCTACACTTAACCAGTACAATGTCCTACCCCCATTCACATCCCCTTCCCCTGCCTTTTGGCTCCTGGCAACCACTAATAATCTTTGGTCTTTATACATTGGCATTTTCTTGTCTTTTTATATAAGTGAGGCCCAGCATTGCTTGTCCTTTTTTTTGATTGGTTTCTTTTACTTAATGTCTTCAGCTCCATTTATACTGGAGCATGTATCAAAACTTCAATTTTTCCTACCACATACTAGTCCATTTAATATATGTATCACATTTTGTTTATCCATTTATCTGTTAATGGACATTTAGATTATTTTCTCCTTTTTTCTCTTGTGACTATTGCTGCAATGAACATTGATAAAATAGATTTCTTTTTGAGTATGTTTTCAGATCTTTTGGGCATATCTGGTTATAAGGTAGTTCTATTTTCAGCTTCTTGAAGAATACCCACATTGTCTTCCATTTTCATTCCCACCAGCAATCACTAAGGATTCTAATTTCCCCATGCCCTCACCAACATTTGTTATTTTTCTGGGTTTTGTGCTTTTGTTTTTTTCCCGTTTCTAAGTCATCACAGTGGGAGTATAATGGTGTCTCATAAACGCTTTGATTTTCTAATTTGTGGTGAGTTATACTTACCTTTTTGGCCCAGCTTGCTTGTGGCTAATGATTGTCCTATTTGGTAAAACATCTAATCAAGTCATTTGCCCATTTTTTTTAAGTTTATATATACATAATAGACTCTTATTGGGTATCTAGTTTCCAAAGATCATCTCTTAATCAGTAGCCCTCTTTTTACTTTCTTAGTAAAGACTTTTGATGAACAGCTTTTTAAAAGAGCCTATTTATCTATTTTGTCTTTTGCTGTTTGTGATTCTCTTTTTATATTAGGTAATCTTGCTAAAAGGTAGGCTTGGCAGTGTTGCCACCTGCATTTTCTTCTAAGACTATATGGTTTTTTCATATTTCAGTTCTTTATCCATTTTGCATTTTATTTTATGTGTGATAATGAGGCATGATTATGTTTCATTTCTCTGCATGTGGAAATCCCATTTTTCCAGGACCATTTAATGAAGAAACTCTTCTTTCCCCTTTGAATGGGCTTAGCGCCTAGGTCAGAAATCCATTAACCAAATAGGGGTTTATTCTGGATTCTCTCATTTCTATTCCATTGGGCTATGTATCTGTTGTTATGCTAGTTACCAGGCTGTTTGTATTACTGTAGCTATATAATATGCCTTTCCTTTCATATAAGATGAAAAATTGAATTCTCTTAACAGGAGGTAAAGATGGACCAGTGGGATTCGCTGACTTCGTTTATAAGCACATTGTCCCTGCATGTTTCCTCGCACCTTTAAAGCAAACCTTTGACTTGGCAGATGCACAGACAGTATTGGTAAGCACCTAGGAGTTTTTGTTCACTTTGTATAACTTTCATGTACTTTAATTCACAGGATCTTCTTCAGTGTCAAGTCAGCTGCACTATATTTCTTTTTTTCCCCTCTTAAATTTGAAAATTAAATTTATTACTTAAGAAGTTGCTGTCTTTCATGGATTCTTGAAGAATCCGAGTGAATATGTGATTTAGCTCCTCCAACTTTACCAACTAAGACATTTTCATAAAAGACAATGGAGGCTTTTAACACTTATTTCTTCTACTTATTTCTATTTCTTCAACTACTACCATTCTAAAACGTGTACCTAATTATTTTTTCCCTAAACTAAAACAGCTTGCTTTCATGGTAGTTTCCTCAAATTTCATATCATTGAATACTTAATTTTTAGTTATTGACACTTTCCACTTTATAACAGCTAGATTCCCACCCCATTTTGGCCAATTACATTTTTCCACTTGCCTGTTACCTTTCCTTTGCCCATTCCTTTTTGGAGATAAATGTTACTGAGCATTAACTAGATAAAGAAGTTAGATCATTAAGCAAGACTTAACATATTTAAATGTTTAAACTTGTTTCTGACAGGCTTTATCTGAGTGTGCAGTGACACTGAAAACAATTCATCTCAAACGGGTAAGCTTTGTACCCTATACTGTTTTGTTTTCATTTGATAGATAATGTCCTTAAGAACTATAATATCTCTTATAAAAATAGCTCTTAAATTCCAATTTTTCTTTTTTTTTAATATATGGAAGAAGGCATGCAACAAGAAGATTATAGTTTGATAAAAATGTATTAAATCTGAACCAAAACTTCCAGATTTTTCCAACTTCCTAGTGTTAGAAATTATTAGAGTGCTTTTGCAATTTAGAATATACTATATATCCCTGTTTTGGAGTTAAATCTGGCTGGTGTAGGTTTTTTGTGGGTTGGTTTGGGGTTTTTTTGGCCATGTTGTAATGCTTTAAGTATGTTTTATAGGCTGTCTATATTTAAAGGTAAATGTTATTTTACAAAAATTTTGGTCTCCATTTTTCCTCAAAGTTAGAATTCCAACCCAACACTGGCATTCCTGCACAGCTTGGTGGTACACAGAATGAAAGCATGAGGAAGAATAAAGAAAGATTAAAAGGAATGTAAAAGGGACTTGAGAAACTTTTAGAAACATTATTGCTGCTTCTGACTTGGGAATAAGATACCCTTGGAAGGGTCAGTAAATTGTAGCCAGGACCCTTGTGTTAGAGGGTTGAGAGTTAAGACTGAAGAAGAAAGGTAAAGAAATCAGTCCTTGGAGTTTTGGAGTCATAGCACTACATACATATAGACAGATAATTTTTTGAACAGAAAAAAAATAAGTCATTTTTTTGTATGCATGTGTTATTACAGTTTTTATAAGTATAATTATCTTCATTTTTCAGGGACCAGAATGTGTTCAGTATCTTCAACAAGAATACCTGCCCTCGCTGCAGGTAGCACCAGAAATAATTCAGGTAAGTGTGGTCCTAGTGACTTTTCAATTTGAAAACTGATTATATAATTAGATCTAAGAACACAACATGTAAACATTTCTTCGTTCTGCATATATACTTCATTGACACTACATTTTTCAAATTGTGCACCCATTTTTACTCTCTTTTAACGAGTTCTTCCACTACTTTTAACATAATGTAATTCCCTCACACCGGCCTCTGGTAAGGAACACTGGTGGCTCTGCGGTTAAGGCCTTTTTCTGCTCACTAAAACATTGATGGTGTGAACAGACTAGTTGGTCGGAGGGAATGTAATTGCTGGGTCATATGATGCCATTAAATTTTGATTATAGAATGCAAAAATACATTCAATATGATTTTTTTTTTAAGCTAAAGAAGCTTGCCGCATGCTTTTAAAATTGACGACTATGCTTAGAAACACATTTGCGGCAACATTTTAAGGGGTCTTCCGGCAGGATTCCTTGGTCTGCAGAGAGAAATAGACCAGGGAGATACCTGCCCTAAGGTGGATCAGGGCAGGTTTTATAGTAAGGGTCTTTAGGGAGGGAAGGGAGGGACATTTCATTGTGGTTTAGCCAGGTGGGTGGTCTTCTAGGGAGGAAAGGGAGGGGTACTCCATGGTAATTTAGTCAGATGGGCTAGGCTGTTCACTTCCTTGGTTGACATGTTGTTATTCTTTAAATCTTTCCTTCTCTCATTGACCTTGGTCTGGGCCTGACCTTCCAGCCTCTTTAGGGGAAAAAAAGGGCGCCCAATATTTTACTGTGTATAGAATAGCACATCTACTTAGCCTGGAGACCAGACTTTAGCAAACAATGTGAAATTAAAAAGGATAAATTGGTTTCATTTTTATGAATCTTTAAAATAAATGTAGATTACCTATCATTGTAAATATAGGCCTCGGATCAATAACATTAGCATTATTTGTACAAACACACACACAGAGAAAGAAGCTCTGGCAGCAGAGGGGTAAGGAGCTACTCTGTCAACTCTAGGTACACAGTTCAAACCCACTAGTTGCTCTGTGGGAGATAGTTGAGCATTCTCCTCAAATGCAGTTTACTGCCTCTTAAAACCCCTTGAAGGGTCAGCAGTGAGTTGGTTCCAATGTGATGGCACATAACAAACACATGCACAAAAACATTACAATTTTATATATGCTCTTTAGGTCAGTAAAAAAATTCTCACCACTAGACTGATAGGAAACATCATGATAGATGGAGAAAAGATTGAAACTAAACTGTCAACAACATCTTAGATCCACAATCAATACATTTGGTACCAGCAGTTAAGAGATCAGAAGATAGATTGCAGCTGGAAAGTTTATAGTCAGGGACCTCCCCAAAGTACTGAGGAGCAATGATGTTAGTTTGAGCTCTAAAGTGCTGATTCAGACTCATCTTTTCAGTCAGCCACTTGTTATGTATCTGAGAGCTGGATAGTGAAGGAGGATGGCAGGAGAAAACTGATGTCTTTGAACTGTGTTGTTTATGGAGAATAACAAAGATCCCATGGATTGCCAAAAGAACAAACAGATAAGTCATGGGAAAAGTGCAGCCAGAGTGCTTCTTGGAGGCAGGGATGGCGAAACTTCATCTCACATGCTTTGGGCATGTTGCTAGTAGAGGCTATTCCTTGGAAATGGACATTATGCTTGGAAAGGTGGTGGAACAATGAAGGGAAGAAATACCCTCAACCAGGTGGTTCTGGGATTCCCACTATTCTCAAGGTTAGCCACAGTCTGTTGTGATCCACACAGTCAAATGTCTTTGCATAGGCAAGGAAACACTGCACATTCAAAATCAGGAAAAGAGAGCATCAAGGATGCATCCTGTCTCCGTTCTTTTTCAATCTATATGCGGAACAGATCATTCAAGAGGCTGGGCTTCATGAGGAGGAATGTTGCATTAGGATTGGTAGAAGACTCATCAATAAACTGCGCTATGCAGATGCCACAACCTTGCTTGCCAAAACTGAGGAGGTTTGCTGCAGATGGTCATGGACTGCAGTCTCCAATAGGGATTGAACCTCAACATCAAAAAAACAAAGATTCTCACCACTGGGCCACTTGGAAGCATGATAGATGGAGAAGAGATTGAGATTAATAATTTCAGCTTGCTTGGTTCCAAAATCAACACACTTGGCATCAGCAGTCATGAAATCAAAAGACAACTTGCATTGAGTAAGTCTGTTCTTAGTGACCTCTCCAAAGTGCTGAAGAGGAAAGATGTCAGTCTGGAGAGTAAGGTACACCTGATCCATGCCATCGTCTTCACAGTTACTTGCTAGTCAGTGGAGAGCTGAACAGTGAATAAAGATTAAGAAGAAGAATTCATGCCTTTAAATTGTGCTGAAGAAGAGTGTTGAACATGGATTGTCAAGAGAACAGTTCTGTCTTAGGGTGAAACCAAGTTGCTTCCTGAAGGCAGGGATCTTAAGGCTCCGTACCACGTACTTAGAGCATGTTGCCAGAAGAGATTGGTCCCTGGAGAAGTTCATCATGTATAGAAGGGTAGAGAGACAGCGCAAGAGAGGAAGACCCCAAATGATAAGGATTAACACAGTAACTGCTAATGGGGATAGGTATGTCAGACTGGCTCAGGATAGGGCAAGGTTCTGAGCTATTGTGCACAGGATTGCTATGACTCGCAAGTGGCTCAGTGGCACACAACAACAATCATGGTCTGGAGCTCCCAGGCTAAAATGAGAATCTATTGTATACAGAAATGTTAAAGTCACAGTGCAGTTGCCTGCCTCCTACAGCCAAACTCTGAGGTAGAATGGGGTGCAACAGCAAGAGGTTTATTAAGGAGTTGTGCTGCCAACACAGAAGTAGGTGGTTCAAATCACCAGCTAATCCATGGGAGAAACATGAACAGTCTTCTTCCAGTGATTAACACACTCTGAAAAACCTGCTGTAGGGTCAGCTAGGAGTTGATCCTGACTTGACAGCACATAACAAGGACATATAGAGAACCAGGTGTAAGCATCCCACACCTACCTCCCCATCACGAAGATGGAGAAGGGAGGAGGGTTTATAACAAAAGTATATAGATTGCATCTTTGTTTCCCCAGGGTACCCTAGGTGAGAGTCAAGTCCTAGAAATACTGGCCTATTCATACTGTCATCCTAAGTAAGGATGGTTGGCTCCTTCCTGTGTATTACAAAGGCAACTTTACATGTACCCATTGGAGAAAGCCAGCAAAGAACACTAATGGAGAAAGAATTAGTACTTCAGTTTACAAAGTGGCTAAAATTAGTGGGAAGCAGAAATTTCTTTTTTCCCAGTCTATTAAACCTCACATATACTCAGTGACAATTACATGCTTGTTTTAAAAAAACTTAAAATGGTATTTTATAAGTGAGATTGAAAAATTTGAATGAAAAATGGGATTTTGTTAGATGCCACTGAGTCAACTATAAGTCAGTGACCTTTGAACAGTAGATCAGATCCCTGCCCTATCCTATGCTATCCTCATCATTTCTGATACACTTGAGCTCACTCTTGAGTCACTGTCAGTCCATCTGGTTGAGGGTTTTCTTCTCTTTCACTGACCCTCCACCTTTCCAAGCATAATGTCCTTTTCCAAGGACCAAGTCTTCCTAAAATAATGCCCACAATAAGTAATATGAAGCTTCACCAACCTTGCCTTCAAGGAGTACTGTGGCTGCACTTAGACATTTTGTCAGTCTGTACTTGAAGGATATTCAGTACTCTTCTCCAACACAATTCTAAGGCATCAATTCTTATTCTTACATACTTAGTCATTGTCCTACTTTCAGATGCATAACAGTAATGGAAAAGATGGCTTGAGTCAGATGAACTTTAACTGTCATCATTCATCCTTAAAACCCTAGAGAGGTCCTTGACAGCAGATTTTTCCAGTGTCAAACTTCTGATTTTTTGACTGCTGGTGCCAAGGGTTTGATTTTGGATCCAAGCAAAATTGTTCACAACTTCAGTCTTTTCTCCATCAACTCATGATGTTGCCTATTGGTCTAGTAAGGATTTATGTCTTCTTGATGTTGAGATTTAATCCATATTAATAAAGACATTTTATCACAAAAAACTTTGTGGATGAGTAACATTGACAAGAATGGGAATCCCAGAGCACGTAGCTGTGTTCATATGAAATTTTTCATCTAGACCAAGAAGGTATTGTTCAGACAAAACAAAGGAACATTGTATGGTTTAAAAATCAGGAAAGGTGTGTATCAGGGTTGTATATATCCTCTTTCCTTACCTATTCAGTCTGTAAGCTGAGCAAATAATTTGTGAAGCCAGACTTGGTAAAGAAGAATCGGAGAATCAATAACCCGTATTATGCAGATGACACACTTTCCTTGCTGAAAGTGAGGAGGACCTGAAGTATTTATTACAGAAGATCAATGACTACACCTTCAAAATGGATTGCATCTCAACATCAAGAAAAGAAAGGTCTTTGCCACTGGGTAAATGCACATCATCATGATAGATGGAGAAGGATTGAAACTGTCAACAATTTTGTCTTACTTGGATTCACAATCATCATCCTTGATATCAGCAGTCAGGAGATCAGAAGATATATGGGACATCTGCAGAATAACTGAAGAGCAGTGATGTTAATCTGAAGTTTTAAGGTGAGCCTGATTCAGGCCATGGTCTGGTCAATCAATTAATTGCTTTGCATCTGAGAGCTGGACAGTGAATAAAGATGATAGAAGAAAAATTGATGCCTTTGAACTGTAGTGTTCAAGTAGAGTACGGAATAGACTATAGACTGCCAAAAGAACAAACAGGTATTGTCTTGGAAAAGGTGTAGCCAGAGTGCTCCTTGGAGGCAAGGATGACAAAGCTTCATCTCGTACTTGGACATGTTGCTAGGAGTCTATTCTTTGGAAAGGGATGCTTGGGAGTGGAGGATCAGTGAGAGGAAGACCCCTCTAATAAGACAGTGACTGCAGCAATGGCTCATGTCTATCTGAGATTGTGAGGATGGCACAGGACAGGATGGGTCACTATGAATCTTATTCAACTCAGTGGCACTTAAGAGCAACAATCATATTGAAGGCTGTAATCTTGATTTTCTACAACAAGTGCTTAAAGTCCTCTTCCCTTTGAGCAAGCAAGTCTGTGTCCTCTGCATAATTCAGGTTCCTGATGAGTCTTTCTCCAATCCTGATGCTACATTCTTCTTCATAAAGTCCAGTAGATCACCTCAAATAATCTTAAATTTTTTTTTTTAAAATAATGCTGCTATGATCATTGGTGTACAAATCTCCATTTGTGCCTAGTTTTCATATTCTCAGGGCATATTCCAAGTAGTGGAATAGCTGGGTCAAATGGAATTTCTATGTTCAGTTTTAAAAAAAAAATTTTTTTTTGCGTGTGTATACCATCATTTCAGATCTGACTGGTACAGGACGCGATTGCCCCTCTTTCTCCAGCAGAGCATCTGGTGGATTCGAACCGCATACCTCTGAGATTGCAGTGCAGCTTCTTGCCATTAGGCCACCAGCACTCCCTTAAGAATTTATTCTTAATGTATTTATAAATACTAATTTCATGGTCTTTAACTTTGGAGACATTGATGACCTTTCTAAATTATGTTAACATCAAAATATTTAAGTAGTATTATATTAATATACAATACGTATCAATATATTTAAGTAAAATAATAATAACTTATCAAAAAACAACTGGAACAGCACACCAACAGAGAACTTCCTGAAGTGCAGGCTGGATTTAGAAGAGGCTGAGGCACAAGGGATATTATAGCTAATGTCAGATGGATCTTGGCTCAAAGCAGAGTACCAGAGTAATGTCTGTGTTTCATTCACTATGCAAAGGTGCTGTGTGGATCACAACAAACTGTGGCTGAATCTGAGAAAATGGGACACTTGATTGTGCTTATGTGAAACTTTTACTTGGACCAGGAGGCAGTTGTCAGAACAGAGAAAGGAAACACTTCATGGTTCAGAATTGGGAAGGTTGTGTTTCAAGGATGTGTCCTATGCCCATATCCCCTCTATATGCGGAACAGATAATATGGGAGACTGGGCTCTATGAGGAGAAGTTTGGCATCAAAATTGGAGGTAGACTCATCAACAGTCTGCATTATGCAGATGACACAACTAGTTGAAATGAGGAGGACCTGAAGTGCTTGCGGCAGAGGGTCAAGAACTGCAGCCTTCAATACGGATTGAAGCGCAACATCAATAAAACAAAGATTCTTAGCACCGGACTGACTGGTAGCATCATGATGGATGATGAAGAGATTGAGATTGTTGACAGCTTCAGCTCTACAATCAACACTCTTGGTACCAGCAGCCAGAAAATTAAAAGACGAATTGCCATGGGAAAGTTTGCTCTCAGAGGCCTCTCCTAGGTTCTGATGAACAATGATGTCCATCTGGAGACTAAGGTATGCCTAACAAAGGCCATGCCCTTTGCAATCACTTGCTATGCATCAGAGAGCTGGACAATGACTAAGGATGACAGAAGGAGAGTTGATGCCTTTGAGCTTTGGTGCTGGTGAAGAGTATTGGATATACCATGGACTGATAGAACAATCAAGTTCGTCCTGGAGAGGGTGAAGCCAGGCAGCTCCTTGGAGGCAAGGACTCTGAAGCTCTGTCTGACATACTTTGGACATGTTGCAAGGTTGGATCAGTCCTTGGAGAGGGACAGCGCAAGAGAGGAAGAACCTCAATAAGATGAATTGATTCCGTCACTGGTGTAATGGGGATAGGTGTGTCAGAGACAGTAAGACTGGCAAGGGATAGAGCAGGGATTAGGACTGTTGTACATGGGGTCATTATGAGTCGCAAATGACTCAATAGCACATAACAACATCATCAACTTTGAAAAAACAGAAATACACCATTCAGTTAGCACAGCCAACATTCTTTCATATTGCTAACTGAATAAAAGTTGTTGTGTTTCTGTTTGCTATTGTAGTGCAAAATCAACAGTGTTCCATATGTTTGATTTGCTATATATCTTAATGATTTCCAGTATCATCAGTCCCTTCTTCATTTGGTTCTCACTCCTCTGTGTCACTTGATTCACTGGAAGGTCTCCCAGAGACTCAGACCAGGGGAATGACTCATATGACTGTAGGTATGCAGGCCAGTTTTGCAGTGAAAGCAAGAGTCACAGAGAGAGAGAGAGCTAGGGCTCACTCAGGTCCCATGAGCTTATATAATCCTCTAGTGGGGTTTCTAGTGTCTAGTATCTCATTTTAATACAATGAATACTTCGGCACAAAATAAACAGTTAATCATGGCTAGGAAAGGCATTTTGAATTTTAAACTTGATACCACAGATATTTTTATTGTAAAAGAAATTTCTAAGGATGCCAAGATTTCTGTGTCATGGGGTTTTTTTTTAAAAAAAATTTCCTCTGACAACACACTTTTGCAGACACCTATTGAAGAGAATTCACTTTTGGTTTCTGTTTAGTTGCTGATTAGTTGCTTTTTTCTGGGTGTGAGTGACTTTTGGCCAAAGGAACCCCATTCTCAAAAGTTGAAAGCCTTGAGAGTTTGTACTGCAGTTACAGCATTTATCTTTAAAAAGTACTTCATTTTAAAATGCTATATAAGTTTGAGGTGAGGAACTGTTTTGGGTTGATTTTGATAAGTGAAAGGTTATAAGAATAGTTACATTTGAGTCAGTACAGATTTAATACAAATACACATTTGTTTTTTTCTCTCTCCTCTCAACTTCCTACTTGCCAGGAGTTTTGTCAAGCGCTTCAGCAACCTGATGCTAAAGTTTTTAAAAATTATTTAAAGGTAAGTTTTGGAACCCTTCCATATCTTTATGCAATAAGGTATATTTCAGAGTAAAAAAAAAATACCTGGATACTGTGCCATACTGTCTTTTGGCCTACTAGTACTTACTTTTAGGATCCGTTTGTTCTAAAACCTGCTCCTAAGACTCTGTAGTAACTTATGTTTCTGTTGTCTGAGACTAGAAAGTTAGGCATGCATATGAATGTGTTCGAGCCTCAGTATATTTGTATGAAAATGTTAGAATTTTGTAATTTGACCATCAGAGGCTTTTTTTACATTAATAAACCTCTTGAATTTAAACTGGTAATCATCTCTCCCAGTAGTTGTTGTTGTGGTTATTTGCCTTCGAATCAATGATGACACTTAGCAACTCTGTGAACAGCAGATCTGAACCATGTCCTGTCCCGTGTCATCCTCATGATCTCCCAACACGCCAGAACCCATTGTTACAGTCACTATTAACAGTCTTATTAAAGGTCTTCCTTTCATTCTTTGACCATTGTTGCCTCTTAAGTTAGCAAGAATAAACTGAATATTTGTTTCATAGTTAAAATTAAGTCTGTGAGTCAGAACTGTCATATTTTCGCATAATTAAGTCATTCAACATGTGTGGCTGCTTTTTATAGATTATACTAAATGCTAACTGCTGGTTTCCCCTTGCAACAATGAGCTAGCTATCTCAAAAGTCATATATGATAGGATGATCATTATGATTATTAATATTATGATCATTAATATTCTGTCCATGAGTAAGTATTACAACTCACGGCTTGAATTTGTTATTCAGTTCCTTCAGCTTAAGAAATGCTGACAAGAGTTTGGCTCTTTTGATTTTCTGACTCCAAGTCTTTGCACATTTTATAATATTTTGTTTTGTCTTCCTGAGCTGCCCTTTTAAATCTTCTGTTCAGCTCCTTAATTTCTTCCCTTTGCTTTGGCTTCGCAGCACTCTAGTGCATTATTCAGAGTTTCATCTGACATCCATTCTGGTCTTTTCTTCCTCCTCTGCCTTTGTAATGACCATTTGCATTCTTCATGAATGATATTCTTGATATCCTCACACAACTCATTTGGTCTTTGCTCACTGGTGTTCAAGGCCTCAAATCTGTTAATGAGATGGTTTTGAAATACAAGTGGGAAAGACTGAAGGTCAAATTTTGGTTCCTGTGGATTTTTTCTTCAACTTGAGCTTGAACTTGCTTATGAGTAATTGGTGGTCTGTTCCACAATCAGCACATGGCCTAGTTTTCACAGCTGATTTGAGCTTCTCCAGCAATTCTTTCCACAGATGTAATCAATTTGATTCCTGTGAATACTATCAGGTGAAATCCAGATGCATAGCCTGCATTTGTGTTTCTTATAAAAAGTATTTGTAATGAATAAATCATTGAATGTGCAGAATTCTAGAATTCTATCTCCAGCTTCATTTCTGTCACCAGGTCCATGTTTTCCAGCTACTAATGGTTCTTCGCTGTCCCTAACTTTTGCATTCCAGTCACCCATTATTATTAATGCACCTTGATTGCATGTTCGATTGATTTCTGACTGGAAAAGTTTGTAGAAATCTTTTATTTACTCATTTGGCTCTAGTTGTCTGTGCATATATTTGAATGATAGTGGTGTAATATTAATTATTGTTGTTGTTATGTGT